GTAGAGTATTACCCCTATGTTTAATATGGGATTGCAATCTCCAGTTACAGGAGAGAGAACCTTCCTCTTACACCTTCCTCCATAGAGTACAGCAGGTGTGGAAGCGAGGGGTGTAGAGTATTACCCCTATGTTTAATATGGGATTGCAATCTCCACGGGTACAGGAGAGAGAACCTTCCTCTTACACCTTCCTCCATAGAGTACAGCCGGTGCTGGAAGCGAGGGGTGTAAATAGTTTGAAGGGGTGTAGAGTATTACCCCTAAAGGTGGGGTGATTGTAACATGGTATATACAGGAACTTGGCATAAACTCTACTTGCTATTGATAAAAATCTCAGACTGCCATATTATTTAGAATATATGGTACATGTACATGTACATGTACATTGAATGTGTGAAAAAGATTGAATGTGGCAGTCCATTTTGTGTTTTATTAGTCAACCAATCAAAGCAGGCAAATAGTTTGAGAAAATATTTAAGGTTGAATCTACATTTACAAGATTTTCTTTATTGTAATCCGCCTTATTAAATACAACAGATAGTTGAAGAGGATAAAGAAGTGGGAGGGGTCCTTGTAAAGGGGTGTAAAGTATTACCCTTGTAATGAGAGGGGTTTGTATTGCATGGGGTATACTTTAGGGACTTGGCAATAGAATGGTGGTAATATAAGTCGATATATTACTGGGGGGGGGGGTATTACCCTCTCCCCATCAGACTTTTTGGTTTAGGGTTATATGTATTTGGTATTTATGTCTTGCCAACAGACTTTAATTAGTACCATGGCAGAAAATTGAATCCTGTACCTTGTGAGCCGTTCTCTGGTGACTTATCCACTAGACCTCAACACCTTTACAAAGATGGGGATGAATTGTTTGTAAATTTATTTGGGTCATTGCCCTTTTTTTTCCTCAATAGATGCATTGTATTTCAAGAGAATTTATTCACAGTAATGCACTAAGACCAGGATTTTTATACTTTTCTGGAGATGTTCATAGTAACCATAGAATTCAATGATGCATTTTGACTTGAAACATCTTGAAACTTCATTGAAAGAAGCAATAAATGCAACTATTTGATTCACATTAATCATAGAGTAGAATAAATTAGGAGGGGTAAGGGAGGGGTTACCTAGCCATCATGGCACCCTGGAAAGAGCCACACCATCGCCTAGGGGTGCTTCCCTGACCCCCTTTCCTCCGGTCCTGCTTCGCCCCTTCCCTTAACCCTGCTTCTGATTTCCCCCTCTTCTTCCAAGCTTCTCTCTCTAATTTGGCCTGAGGCGATTAAAATCCCTTTATAGTTTCAAGTTTCAAGTTTATTTTTCCACATCTCCTTTACAAAACAGCAGGCGCATTTATACTGTCAAATACCTCATTTTGAAAAGTCGCGATGTTTCGTGCACCCGGTTACACTTGTGCTGAAACATCACCGACGGAGCTGTTCAGCGATGTTTTGGCGTGTTTCGGTTGGTAATGCGCATGTGCAGTCTTCCCGACCTTTGACCCCGGCCTGCTATAAGATTTTTAGCGCGCGCAATTTCCAGCTAGCGCTATAGCTAGCTAAATAGCGATACATCCCATGCGCATGCATGCGATATGTTTTGTTTATCTCGCGTGTAGTATTTGAGGCAAGAGTGGATAAGTTACGAAGTACGGACTACGGCTGCTGATTCAGTTTTCCCAAATTCAATCGAAATCTAGTAGTAAAAACGATATGGGAAGGTTAAGAAAATCATCGTTAATTTCATGCTTTCACTCATTTCTCTGAAGCCCTTTTACCCACGTTTGCAGGGACGCTTGGAAGTCTGGTGGAGGAGCTCTCCCTGCCTCCACATCGAAATCAAGAACTTCATCTCATCATCAGTCCAATGGGAATTGTTCACTTCCATATTAATTAATCTAACAAAACACTCAAATACTACTTCTAGACAGATATGGCCAGACGGGAATAACGAAGATTAAATAAAGGATGAGTTAACGGAATTGGAACAAACGGAGCTGAATGAACGGATAACACGCGCGACGATGGAAATGCTATAAATATCACACGGGAAGAACGTGGTTTAAAAGAGCGCGGGTAACAATCCGGAAGTGCCAGAAGTCACGTGCCTAACATCGCGATGTTACAACTGCGAGCGGTTATACTTGCCAAACACGCCAAAACACGCCAAAAGATCACACTTCGTTTTGGAATGTTTGGGGCTTGGCATGTCTGCCGGTAAAGCGTAGTTGCCCTTGGTAACATCGCGGCCAGGCTCCGGTTTGGCATTTTTTGGCGTGTTTGGATGACAGTGTAACTGCCCCTATTAAGTACAATTTAAAACATTGCATTTTACACACAGTAAAGGAAAAAATACATTCAGTAAATTTACATGAAGTACATGGTTACATGGTTACATAATAAGGCCTTGTACACATATCATCTGTTTGGAGCCAGAAGTGCATTGACTCATATACATGTATTGTCATGAAGACTTAATATCCTTCTGGATCTGAACATGTAATGTGATGCATTATAAACTGCCCTTTAAAAAAATAGGTTGTGCTACGCATGCTCCTGCGACAATTGCTCCGCGGTATTATCCTACAGTAGCTGAATTCCTAACTTCAACCCTTGACCCGACACTAGTCCTAATTCAAACCCTAAATCTAAACCTTAATTTAACCCTAAACCTAAACCTAAGCCTATCCTAACCTAACACCCAATCACAACCATAACTCTAATAGTATACTTAATAGTAGGGGCCGGAGCAATTGTCGATGGAGCATGTATATGTGAGGTCACCAAGAGCAAAGGAGTTTACAAACAAGCAGTGTTTTATTCAAACCAAGTGCATTTCGAAAGAATTATCAAGAGCTAAATATTATGAATACAGCCTAAGAGCCATCTGATATAAGGGAAGAGGAAGTGGAAAGGAACATGAAGAGGACGAGAAATGAAATCTCTCCCTTAGGGATTTTTAGAAAGAATGTTGCCAAGTTTAAGAAGATCAAGTCTGGAGATCACGTCTGAGAATATAAGTCAGGTTCAATAAGATTAGGAATATATCATGAAAGAACATTTAAATGTCTTCAAAGGCTCAACACAATCTGTAATGCTACTTTAACAACTAGATGTACAGCAAAAGAAAAATGAGATGATTAGGTAGTCAAGTGAAATGATTTCATATAATGGCATAGTTATAGGTGTGAAATATTTTATTGTACAAGGAAATAATTTGTTTTCTCTTTCTCATTCCCTCTCTCTCTCTCTCTCTCTCTCTCTCTTTAACCTATTGGTATTAAAAGGGGCACCTTGTAGCTATGCTACCGGATACATTTATTTTAAGCTAGTTATTTCCTTCTACAAGCATCAGTTCAGAGAGACTTCAGAGAATTTCTATCAAAATAATTCAGACTTTCATTTCCAAAACCCAAGATAGAGTTTCGAGCCCGTTGATCAGCTGACCGTCATCGGCAAACGAGGAAATGAGACGTGATTGGTCGAAACAGAGGAAGGGAAATCATGTCCCCTCTCACTACTGTCCATATGGACATGGTCAGACAGACTAGTAGTCTGCAGAATCAGACCCCTTGTTTAGAGTGTTTAAATATTGTTTGTTTGGACCAGAAGGGTATTAAATCTTGTTGTAAAGAATTCCTTTTTAATTTTTGTTTTACAAATTTCTTTACAACAATTGATCAACTAATATCTCAATTATGACAATAATGCAATCGAAATAGTATGATAACTAAATAATCTTTTAATTTGAATAAATTTAACTCTTTTCTGAATCTCAAATCTTTAATGGGCAAGTTAATTGAATAAGTAGAGAAAAATTAAACAAAGAATACAGTGATAGTTTCTTCAAAATCAGACCAAAAATAAGAAAAATTCTGGAATTTTAAAGTTAATTTCAAAAGCATAACTTTATGAAACGGTGATATGTATCACATACGTTAGGCTGTATGCAAATGAGCGATTTGATGATCTCATCCCCTCACTTTTCTCTATCCGTTTTGTACATGAATTTAACAACAGTATCCCTTTTCTGCTCTGGGAATGTCAAACATGGCTCAAATCCTCGTGGAATATGTGCAAAATCACCATTACTGTAACTTATTCCAATAGAGTCAGAGAAGTGCTGGTACATCATACATATATATAAATATACATATATAAACATATTTATGAGCTAAGTTTGCGGTTGCATATATACACTTGAAAGTACTTGTAGAAGCCATTTGAGGTACAATACTTGGCCATGGAAAAGTGTCTGAAACAAGCAGACTGACTTCTTACGAAAGGTTATGAACTTCGGGTGACAAATCAGAAAGTTATCATATCATCTTGTTATTCTTGCACTAGTCTGACGACTTGCTACAAGTTCAGGGGAATAATCGGAAACTAATTTGTCACCCTTGTTAAGTAGTAAAAAGAAATTTAATTGAACTTGTTTGATGACACAGCCATTTGTCATGATATGGATGGTCTTATAAGTTCTATCTCGACATGTTTTTATTGGAGCTCCAAGGGGAGCTATACTGCTTGATGTTCCCAGGGGACCTACAGCTTGAAGTCTAGTCCCAGGCACTACTTGTCAATAACACTTTTCATCATTGGATATGGGGGAGGCTTTCTGTAGTTTGGTTTCTCAGGTCCAAGATGACTGCCATATTTTTTTAAAGTGAAAATGCCAAAAATATAAATAATTTGTATATCCACCTGAACAGCATGAAGACATTTGACTACTTTCCAATTATTTTTTTTATGTCACTGCATCGTTCTCATCAGGCCATTGAGAAGTTTAACAGCAACTGTCAAGAAGCATTCAACAACAGTTTGCGCCCAGACTGAGGTACTCCAGCTAATGACCTAGGGGACAGTGCAAAAAATGCCACATGCTGTCTTCTTTTCCCTTTTGTTTTTATATTGTGGTTAAATGTATGAAAATCAATAAAAGTTGGACATTTTTCCCATCACTTTCACATTTTGCATATTTCATTTTATCTTACCCTTCAGGCCATCGAGCGGTTCGCCAGCAACTGTCGGGAGCGGTCGACGACGGTGCGCGCCCTGACGGAGGAGCTGCAGCTGATGGAGATGCCCAATAATGCGGAGAACGCCACCATGCTGCTGATCGAACAGCGGAAGCGTCGTATGGAGGTCAAGGAGGACCTGACGTCCGCGGTCAAGTACGGTCAGACGCTGCTCAGCTGTCTACGAAAGGTCACCGGCGATGGGAAGGAGAAGAACCCCGATAAACTACTCACAACATGTGCAATAGAAAAGTAAACATCTCTCTTTCATTTCTATCATAAGCCTATCAAGTAGTTGTACAACAGCTTCTTACACTTACCAAAGTCCTAACCTCACCCCTGGTACGAACAGTATATCCAACCCTAACCGTTACCGTAAAATTTCCATGAGACCCAATTGTAAACCCTACACTAACCCACTATCTTCTACAACATAAAGTCTGAAGCAAATGTCACCACACCTAATGTCAGATAACCAGATTTCAATGGACAAAGTCTTCGCTTTGTGACAAAATATTCCATTAATTGAACAAGTGGAGTTGGGTTCTTCCTGGAAAGAAAGCAAGTATTGTTTAAAGCTGTAATATGATGGGATTATAGAGTCCCGGAGTGTGATGTCATTCCGTGTACTATCAATAAGGTCTAATAATAATTTGATGGCCATTATTATTTAGGATTAAATGATTATTAGGCCATATAGATATTAGACAAAAATGGGGATCAGATAAACTGGGAATTAGACTAAATGAGCAATAGACAAAATGGGTAGTAGACTTATTTAAGATTAGACCAAATGATTATTAGGCACCCTAAATGGTCATTAGACCAAATGGTAAATAGACCAATTGATTATTAGATCATGTAGATAGTAGACAGGCTTGGTGTAGACCATATGGGAATAGACTAATTGGGTTGTAGACGAACTGGCTGTAGACCAAACGGCAATAAACCATAATATCCTTCTTTATTTTTCTTCCTTGACAGACTATTAGAAGAACTGGAAGTCTTGGAGAAGGAGTTTGACGACACCTGGTGCGACCAAGAATCCAGGTTAATATTCTGCCTCAAAGTCCGGAAGTACGAAGAGGAATTCAAAGTGGTAAGTCTAGGTCCAGTTATCCACACCAGGACCAGGTCTACAACCCCATTTTGCAACGGTAACTAGCAGACCACTAGCAGATGGTTTTACTTTCTTAAAAGACAACCCAAACTCTTAATAACAAGTTTAATTGAACTGCAAATCAAAGAAACAGATCGGTGAAAGTATGAATACAATCATTTAAATGATTAGAAAAGTTATGAATTGTTCCATGTTGTTCCTCTCCCATTCCAATTTTTGTGCTTCTCTTCTCTTCATGAACACGTACATTCTGTTCTATAGATGTAAAACCTATTTGAAAGTACACACTGTCAGCATATATCATATCACATGGTTGGATAATTTGCCACAAGTCCTTGCACAAGCCAAAAGCCTTTCTCTGTCATCATCAACAACATTACAAATTAGTTCTGTGCAAGATTTCTGCTTTATACTGACTTGAAGAGGGACTGCACTACTTGTAGCTACTTGCGCCCTCTATATAGCAAACAATGCCTAAACGGTACCCGTTAGTCCCCCATGATCCCCTTTTTCTTATGTTAAGTGAGAGCTGATTTGATGAGATAACCATCTGTCAGTGACCATGCAGGGAGGTCTAATCCCACATGGCCAAAAAGGCTTTAAATTCTGGACATGGACCAACTTCAGGCACAAAAAACTTGGATTTGCCAAGAAACTGTCTTTTCTTTGGGTCCCGATGCGGTCTAGACCAACATCACACGTAAGTGAGTGGTCAACACTGGAACACTCCAAAGAAAATTTAGAGAGATGAATTTCATTCTCATGAGCCCCCATCTTACTTTCTCAAACAACGGCGCAGAGGCGATGAGAGGGAACTAAATCATCCGTAAAAACTAAGAATTGGATAGTTACAGATGAGTGAAAAACAGAGGATGGGAGTTAGCAATCGGGTAATACAATTTTAGTCGTGTTTGACCCAGATTCAGAACTTGTCAGTATTGCCCAATACAGTTGATTGAATCATCATGACTGTTAGCTGTCTATCGAGAATGTAGAGAGTTGAGTTAGAAAAAATGTGAGGGAGCAAAGCGACCAAGCAGAGGAGGGTATGGGATGGAGTTGTGTCATCTTCTTTTCATTTTTCATTTTCCTTTTTCCTTCTCTCTCTCTCTCTCTCTTTCATTTTTCATTTCCTTTTCCTTCTCCCTCTTCTCTCTACATTTTACCATTACCATTTTTTATTTCTTGGTTATACACCTCGTTTATTCCCCCAAACCATCTCCCGTCCGATTTCAAACCAACCCCAAAATCACGAAGAAACCAATCTTGGTTATTTGGGGTACTTTAATATTTTTTGTTGAGCTGTTGTGAATCTGTAACCAGCCTTGGCTGTGTAAGGTGGATATTAGGAGTCAACATTCATCGATCAACTAAAAAAACACCTGTGACACTTCCTCTCACATTCGAGACTGAAGTGAGTACTAGAATGTCTTTCATCTCCCATTTTCCGTGAAAAGTTAATAAGTGCTCCACCGCGATGATGCTATCATAATTCCGAATTTAGAATCATGAACAAGGTTTTTCTGCTGAATCACAAGGCTGCACAAACAAAGAACAGGGGGAGGTTGTCTTGAGTGATGAGCTGTTTTCAAAATCTCTTCCTGCCCATACAGAGAAAACCTGCTCATAAACATGTATCTCAATCTTGCTAATCGTCATAAGGGTTTTCACTCATGTACTTTAACCCTTTGAGGACAGGATATATTGTTAGGGCTAAATTGATCACATATTGCTCTTCAAATTGGCAACAATAATATTTTCTTTTATCACTACAATAACAGAATAAAATGCATAAAATGTCTCTGAAAAAAATATACAGCGAGAATGTTGTTGAAATGTTTGAAAAATGCCCAGTTATTATTTAAAAAACAAGGATTTGTAATCTCTCAAATTGTTGCCAATTTAAGCATTTTAAAACTTAATTTCCTTTTAATAATTCCTAGCATCAAATGGAATATAGTCATGAATAAAAATGGATGCAGTGTGTGCAGAAATGTTTGCCCCTTCTAGTTTCTAATTGTGTATCTGGTTTATTTTGAGGGCTCTGAATCAGGTTATTGACCCAAACCAAGAAATGTGAAATAATTTTTGTAAAAAGGTTAACAGAGAGTTTGTGCCCTTCTTACTCTCGTGAGTATTTATTTGATGATGCTGATGATTCACAGCAGTTATACTTCTGTTGAAAAAATCAAAAACTTTCAAAGCTGCAAGCTCTAGAGTGAAATATACAGGCGTATCACATTGGATCACAATTCCAGGCGTCAAGTAACGCCTGCCTGGAATACTCCCCAGGGAGTGGAGATTGTGCACACAGTGTGTGCGGGCAAGCACTGGATCCAATGACCCGGGTGATTAGTATATTTGTAAAAGCGCTTAGAGACATTCGTATTAAGCGCTATATAAAGCTAAATATAATTATTAGTAGTATTCCAGAAGCCCACAGTGCCAGAAGGATGTTAACTCAAATACTTTAAAACATAGAATTTATGCCCTTGTGGCTCTTAATTAGTCTTTTTTTTATTTCAGAATAACATAGACCACTACTCTTAAATCCCTTTAACATAAACTTAATACATTAATGCCTGGCTCTCAAGAAGCATTCATTTGATACAGACCGTATGAATTTCGCACAAATGTCATCTTATTTTCCAGACCTCGACCTTTTAATAGCGTTCATGGAAATCACCTCTGAACAGTCTAGCGTCCCACAGGCGCCAACTATCGATGGATGAGTTTTTTGTTTCACCGCTGGCGGGTGCCCAAAATATCACTAACCACAGAGAGATTTACTCTGTGGCAGATCACAACAATGAGGTCGATCAGTGCTTCGTTAGTCACCCCGATCACTTCCTCTCATGGATGTTGAGACAATCAGTTACGTACCCCCTGTTCAGACTATCAAGATTTATGTAAAGCTATAGCAAAACTGCATAGCTGATGTGTTCAAGAAGTTGCTAATTATTTCCTAGTCTAAACGGTTTACAAAACAGATACTGTACCTGTATTTCGACATCATTTTGAACAAAAACTCAATAAAGATTCAAGGTCTACTTCTAGTCTGATCGTCATATCCTATCAATACACTATCACCTTATTTTAAGAAAGAGAATGATGGCATAGTTCAACAGTTGATTGATTGATTGATTTTTATTTCTCATGCAAAACATAATACAAAAATAATTATATCACAACATAAATAAATATAGTGGAAATAGCACGAGAAAAGAGGAACTAACTTGAAGCAGAGCTTGTTGAAGTGTTAGTTCCTCAGATGCAAATTTTACAATATAAATTAAAAACATGAACACATTTAACACAGAAACACTTCGCGCCTCCTGCTAAAACTTTCTGCGTTCTTAATTTCGGCTTCTTTTGAGATGTAGCTGATGATATCACTCATTGTTTTCACAGACATTTTGAACTTCTGTTATCATGCTCTGCTGCCCTCTATTGTGGTTACCTACTGCTGCCAATCAAAATATCGAAGATATAAATACATGTACATGTAGGTAGGGGTTAAGAGAGTGACATGGATTACAATTTCAAAATATCAATAGAAAATGACAAAGAAGACAGCGCAGCAATTTTGAACAGCAATATTGTTAACGCTTTTTTACCAAAAGAAATTCAGAAAGCAATTAAGAATTGTATGATTTCAATCCATAGTCCTCTCGAGTAGTAGAAGTAATTAACCCTATATGTATAAGGTACAGTGGAATAAAACGATTCAGTAGAAACTGGAATATCAGAAGCATATCAGTGATATGATAGTTTGAGCATATTGTTTGATACATAATTCTACTTAATCCTTCATTAGTCCTTCTCTTAATTACCATAAACCTTGTAAATAAAATAAATGTTTATTATTGTCAGAGAGGCATTAGCTAGGAATACTGTACAAAAGCATATTTATGTCCCATGATAAAACACCAATTTATGCCCTGTTTCTGGTTATTAATGTCACCTTTCAAGACACCGACAACATTACCGGTATAGCCATTTGCCCGTCATTCATGGCATGTTATTAATATCCTATCATGAGACGTTTACCGCTACAGGTATAATAGACACCATGTTGTGACACATGCACATACAAATGAGGTTATGGTGGTAGGGGGTGAGGGGCTCAACTGCCCCCCCCCCCCTCCCCCCAAAAAATATATACATATTCAAACAAGGCACATGATAAAAATTAGTGCAAGAACCCTAATGCTGCTGCCGCCTTAAGCCCCCCCCCCAAAAAAAACAAAAACAACAAAAAACAAAAACAAAAACAAAAACAAAAACAAAAACAAAAAAACACGTACATATAATTCCTAGGGGGAGGGGGAGGAGGGAAGAGGGGGAGGGGGATTCACTCTATGCCCCTGTGTATTTTCAACTCTGTTTAGGACTGCATTGAAATCAACTAGGCATCCCTCTCCCCCGCCTACTCTCCCCCTCCTACAAAAAAAATATATATATAATAATAATAATAATAATAATAATTTGTCTGGTTTATATATTATATATATATATTTCAAAGAATTCATTTATGTTCTAGAATTTGATTTTTTTGGGGGGTGGCCCTTTTAATTTATTTTTCATGCTGTCAAGCCCTCTAAGAAATACATCTATGAGCTTGTAACAATGAAAAGCTACGTACCTGAAAGTGCCCCCTCTTTTGTTCATTCTTGTGAATGCGAGCTGGGAATTCGGGTTGCCACAGTTCTTCTTGCGTGTAATTAGACTCTTCCACCAGGCACCTGTGCAAAAATTAACCGTGCTGAAAGACGTCCTCAGCATTATACATGCTATAGATGTAGAACTTAATGCGCCCTGTTTCATAAAACTTGCTATCAATAACAAATGCTAAATTTTGAAGGCAACTTTGCTGTCAGCCAATCAACTGCCATGATTTCAGTAGCCTATAACACTTATTTGTAACTTTTATTGATAACAAGTTCTATGAAACAGGGGCCTGGTGTGAAGACAAGAGAATAATGAAAACACAGCTCTAGAAGCAGTGTCATTTTTTTTGTTGGGAGGGGGGGGGGGGGGACTTGGGTTTTTTTTAGGTCAGGAATACCTTTGGCGCCTGAGGGTGATTAAATTATCTAAACATTTCCCAAGTTGATGAAATATGAAACGTGCTCCAGCTCTTTGATTGGTTGTATCTCTAGTTCGGAAATGTTTTCAGATTTCGAATTGGCAGAAAGTCAAGCAGAGCCAAGTCCTTTGGATCTCAAATAACATGACATTGGGTAATACAACTTAGTTGAATGGGATTAATAGCATCATTAATCTGGAGCAATTAGCTTGTCATTTTAAAGGGGGAGTAGCAAAACAAGGCTACGTGTCTTTCCTGTATAATATGACTACAGACGACGCAACCGCAGTATTCACTTGCGTGCAACATACGTGAAACTGAAGCGTTAATCAAGTCCATTCGTTTACGTGCAGTTGTCCAAAAGAAGTCGCATATGGCGTTAACCAGTATTTGCCATGCTATGTACGCCCCCTTTAATTACAATAATAATGAAATGTGTGGATATCTTATGAAGATTGCATACAGATATGATGGATATTCTCTCATTTAAATTATTAACATTGGCACATAACATGATTGCAACATAGTTTATTCTAGCAGAACACAAATTGTATCAAACTTAATTTTGTGTAGTCACCCTGCAATTGTATTATCCTTTTTTAAACAAATTCATTGAACATTACAGTGTTTCTTTTGTGTTTTCTTTTTCAACAGGTATTATTACTGTTAGAAAACATCTCAGAGAAGATCAACCCAGAAAGCAGCATAGGCAATGCTGTGGAAGAATGCAACACATTTTTGGAAAGACATGCCGAATTAGAAGCAGAGAGCAAGGTAACTATAACTTTTTGATTACTGTCTATCATAATTATTATCATTTTACCATTTTTGTTATGATGATGATGATGATGATGATTGATAGTAGTAGTAGTTAATGTAGTGATGACAATAGTAGCAGCAGTAGTAGCAGCAGTAGAAGTAGTAGAAGTAGTAGTAGAGTAGTAGTAGTAGTAGTAGTAGTTAATGTAGTAGTAGTAGTAGTAGTAGTAGTAGTATTCGTAGTGATGACAATAGTAGCAGCAGTAGTAGCAGCAGTAGAAGTAGTAGAAGTAGTAGTAGAGTAGTAGTAGTAGTAGTATTAGTAGTAGTAGTTAATGTAGTAGTAGTAGTAGTAGTAGTAGTAGTAGTAGTAGTAGTAGTAGCAGTCGTAGTGATGACAATAGTAGCAGCAGTAGTAGCAGCAGTAGAAGTAGTAGAAGTAGTAGTAGAGTAGTAGTAGTAGAGTAGTAGTAGTAGTAGTAGTAGTAGTAGTAGTAGTAGTAGTAGTAGTATTAGTAGAAGTAGCAGTAGTAGCAGTACTAGTAGAAGCAGTAGCAGTAGTAGTATGATTGTTAATGTAAAATGTGCCGTAATGCTAGTAAAAGTATTCATAACGATAATCGTAATACAGTGTAGTACATACAGAAGTAATGATATTTTATCCATTCAGAGCCAGAAGGGCATTAACACTGTGTTCAAACAGACAATTTACTTTAATATGTTATCCTTGTCTGTGTATGTCTTATTCATTGTCTGATTGTCTGTTTGTGTGTCTTGACTTGCAGGAGGCCTTAGACCGATCAGACAAGCTGACCCAGACGGGCGAGGACCTGATGAAGAACAACAAGTACCCCATGGAGGTGGCCATCGTGGAGCCCAAGTGCACCGAGCTGGTCAGCAGGACCTCCGACCTGCAGGACAGCCTCGCCAACCGACGCACCATGCTGGAGAGGTCTCTGGAACTGCACCAGAGGATACAAAAGGTGAGAGAGGTCATGGAGAAAGAAATTATGTTAATATTTCATAATCAGATTACATATCATACTATTCATGAAATGAATAATTTAAATGATGATGGTAATAATTATTATGATAATAATGATAAAATTGATAATGATGATAATACTAATGATAACAATTATGTTAATGATATTGATAATGATAATGATGATGATTAGAATTATAAATTTAATAATAACCATAATGATAATAAAAATGACAATGATGATAATTATAATGATAAATAATAATGATAATAATAATAATGATAACTATAAAAATAATAATCATAATATTAAAAATGATAATGATAATAACAATAATAATTGAGAATGCATATTGAGCACATAATACATGAACTTGCCCTTTACAGCATAGATAAATTATGCACAGGTATACCTAAAACATTTGAAAACAAATGTGGAGTATACAAAGAACTGTTTAATTCAGGAGTATTATAGCGCGTCCGATAAAAATAAAAGACCCTACGAATACATATATTTTGAAAATGTACATCTTTTTAACAATTAAGTTAGTTAGAACCCATTTTGCAGGAATCTAGAAGAATTACCATACAACCTGTTTACCGTTTGAAGATAAAAAAGCGGAAGTTCAGACTTGTTCAGGATGTCATTGAATGAATTGTTCCGATGCAAACGTCAAAATAATCCTGTGTGTTTTTCACCAAGTCAGACATTTGAACGAACATTGAAAACACAAAGGACACTATTCATTTCCTTCCATTTCTCGTTCGTCTCGAAAGGAAGAGGAAAGAAATGACAGGATGAAGTTGAAAGTGAAGGCAGTGTCTGCGTAGGTCATAATAAAGGTCCAATATAATTTTTCCAGGATCATTGTAAAAATGACCTTGTGACCACCCATTTCTGTCTATTTCCTGTTTAGTCTGGGTACTCTCTCTCTCTCTCTCTCTTTCTCTCTCTGTCACCCCCTCCCCTTGTGTTTGTGTGTGTGTCTCTCTCTCCCTCTCTCTCATTCTCTTCTCTCTCTGTCTTTCCCCTCTCTTCCTGTCAATATTTTTATTTGTACCTCTTCCTTCTTCCTCTCTTTTTCTGTCAGTCCCTCTCTGTCTTTCTTTGTCTTTCTCTGTCTCTCTTGTTCTCACGCTCTTTCACTCTTTTTGTCTCTCTTCCTTAATCTTTCTTCCTTAATCTCTCTGTCTCTTTTTATTTATCTCTCACTCTATCTCTTTCTTTCTCTTCTCTCTCTCTCTTTCTCTCCTCTCTCTCTCTCTCTCTCTCTCTCTCTCTCTCTTCTGTCTCTTCATATTTCTCTCCTGTTTCTTTCTCTCTCTCTCTTTATCTTCTATATGTATCTTTGCTTTCCCTTTTTTTTCTTTCTGTCCGAGCTCCGAACAACTTCCTAGCTGCCTCTACTTGAATTTAACCTAGAAAGATTGACCCCAAATTTGTTAAACTAAATAAAAAGTGTCCTAATAAACTTTGTGACAAGTAAGTGGGCTCGAGTCAGAAGTGATATGCCTTAAAACTGTCATTTTCAAAACACTTTAGCTGTGAGACAAGGCATGAAAAAGAAATCATATTTGAAGGTTTTAAATGTATTTGATATCCATATAGATTATTCAAGTTTATATTTGTAACGTTAAAAAAAAAAAAACGGAAACCTATTAATGAAGACTGCTCAAGGGAGACAAGAAATGTTGTCTTTATAGAAAGGTGATCTTTATGTGCAGGTCACCTTTGTACATACATGTATTTCAATGAAAACTATTGTTCAAGGGAACCAAAAATATTGTCTCTGTACGCAGGTGATTTTCATGTATAAGTGGTCGCTAAAGCAGGTTTGAACGTTTAAATTTTTTAACATTCGAAATGAATATCTTCTGTTGGCGCCAAAAGACTTATACTTTAACACAGAGTTAATGCCCTTTTGGCTCTGAACAGATGATTTTTTGGGGGGTGAAATATGGCTAAGATAATTTTCAGTCATTCACTCATAAGTAAGGAATAGAAAAGAAGCCAAGGAAAGAAGATTAACTGAATTTGTTATTAGGATTAGCTCTATCCTGTCTTAATGTTTTTCACAAAAGTTCAGTGAACCCTCAACATTCCATTTCAAATTTTCTGAAGCTCTCTCTTAAGTCTCTTTCTCTCTCTCTCTCTCTCTCTCTCTCTCTCTTTCTCTCTCTTTTTCTCTCTCTGTGCAAAAGTCAATTCTGAGGACACACAGTGCGGTTTCATTTCAAGAAAACAGTTTATATGAATCATTGTGAATTGTTATCGTGTAATCATATTTTGAAATGATTAAATAATAAAGTTGTAACCTAGTTCTGGCCAGCCACGAACATAAACAAAGCGGTTAAAGTTGCTGAAATCCACATACCCTTTCCTTACCGTTTTTTCTGACAAGGTTACACATGTATCCATAGATCTTTTATCCTCTCTCGCTGGCGATTCCTATTGTGGACTTCTGAACTTTTAGCAATTTCACCCCCCCCCCCTTTTTTTTTCTTTATTTCCACTTATAACTCTGTAAATGCCAAACAAATAATCTCCCTGTGCCACATTTCATGTATCATTGGATAGATATACCTGAAGCTTTAACATTATTTTAATATTTCCAAAGCAAGTTGTCATGGAGCAGATCGAGACCAGAAATGGGTATAATTTGCAAAGCCATTGTTTTCCACAACGCAATCTTTCTCTATCGGTGCATGCCTGGGTCCTGTTGCACAAAACTTACCATTGATGATAACTTTGCCATCAATGGTAACTACCATGATGGAAACCATGATTTTGATTGGCTGTTGAGCCCTATAACCATGGTAGATGCCATTGATGGCAAAGTTACCATCAATGGTAAGTTTTATGTAACAGGCCCAGGTGTTTTGTGCAAAAGTGCACATGTGGCAAGCGAGCAAGCGACTGTAAAAATAGGCAAAACGAGCAACCAAATTGGCAACAAATTATATTAATTACAACCCCAGTCATAACACCGGTTCACGCACTTGTCTGAGGTAACGGAGAGAGGGTACGGAATTCATTAGGGGGAAGGAATTAGCACCTGTAATTGGTATCCGTTTGCCCCCCCTCCACTTTTATTTCCCGCGTTTGTACCCCTCCAAAGATTGACCTCGTTTGGGGCGGATTGTACGCTGGCTCCTGGCTATCAATTAACTACAGGTGGCAGCAGTCAAGCAGAGGGGACTCATTAACGCTGTTGGCAACTTTGGAAGAAGCAGAATATAAAAAGTTCATAGAAGCCAGTGGCCAATGTTCATAAGAGTAAACTCTAAATATATCTTTCATCTATCTTTAAAAATTTGCTGAGCCTAAACTTCTTTTTTTTTTTGGGGGGGGTCAATTTACATCTTTAAAAAATCAGACTAAAGTTAGTCCACTTTTAAATACATTCATGACCAATGATGTATTTTAATATTACTCTTATCCAAAAGGATGTTGTATGGGTGTGATTCATGTTGGCGGCATTTGGTTCAAATGAATATATTGGAAGTATATGCGATTTTACAATATTCAATGATTGTTTTCGCGGTTAAAATCGAGTCTAAAATGATGAAATTGTAAATAATAAATCTTTATGTTGTATAGCTCCCTTTCAAGACTGATATTACTTTAGCTCTCCTGTTTTTAACATGTACATGTGTGTTCCTCACCCTCTATCACCACATAGCAGAATCTTACTTCAGTTAATAACCCAAATTTCAATTTTGTTTTGGGAATGAATAACCGAGCCTTCGTTAAAATCCATTTCCTCTAGGGTAATACACAAAATTATCTGACCCCCTTCTCCCCACCTCTCTCTCTCTCCCTCTCTCCCTCTCTCTGCCCCCTTCCCCGTCTGTGCCAGGCTGATGATTGGTGTAGCGATGGCATGAAGCTTCTGGCCTCGCAGGAAATGGATCAGTCCCAGTCCAAAGAGGGAGCCGAGAAGTACCTGCGCCAGATCGACGAGGAGCTACGAAGGTTTCGGGAACTCAAGCTCAGCGACCCGCGAGAGTTCCGTCAGATGTTTGCGGATATACTCAGCGTCGAGGGGAAGGTAAGCGGGGAACTTTCTGAGATTTCTTTTCGTAGGATGATGCCTTTATTTTAATAACTGACTGTGATGTAAGCAAATGTATGCTTGTAGTTAATCAGCTAGGGGACCTCCAGCTTTATATCCTAACCAAGGTACTTGGTTATTGAGGATTAATGCCATGCCAAAGGATACTAGCGGGGAACTTTCTGAGATTTTTTTTCATAGGATGATGCCTTTATTTAGCTGACTGTGATGAAAGCAAATGTATGCTTGTCAATAAGCAGCTAGGGGACCTGCAGCTTTATGTCCTAACCATGGGACTTGGTAATTGAGGATTATGCCATGCCAAAGGATAGTAGCACGTTGACCTTGTTTCAAATCCTGCTGGCTACCACTGAGCCATCGCACATCAATTGTGTTAGTAACTTTGTATTTCCTTTCACATTACAACACCTATCCACTCATTAGCTTTATATTACAGTTGCCAGCATTTTTCCTATGAACTTTTCACTTTTCTTTGACCTTAGTTGTGTATCCAAACTGATCACCATTTAAACTCTTCTGAAATGAAGGTTTAACCACATAAGTCTTCTAAAGGAATATTCACTATATAACTTCAGCATTCTCTTGTGAATTTGTCTCAGTTTAAACAAGAGGAAACTTGAAAGAATACATATATGTTTCCAAATCATTTTTAAATGTGTATGAGTTGTGCAGTACGTCTTCTGATAACTTCAATGCCTATTTTTGTTGCATAGTGTACCCTTCAACAATATGTGACCTGACCCGCATTTATGTGATTGCTTCCATTTTTTAAAACTTTTGTGTGACCTTTCCTCAATCCCATAGAATGAAGTTTAATTACTTCAATAGCTACATGTATAGGAAACATTTATAGCAAGATTGTTGTTCACTTTCAATTCCTCTATTTTTTTCAACTTTTGTGTGATTTCTTTCCTCAATCCTATAGAGTTAATTATAATTAATTTAATAGCTACATAGGTAACATTTTTAGCAAGATTGTCGTGCACTTACTGTTCCTCTATTTTCAATTGTTCTGTGTCTTCCATTTATTTGTTGTTTGCTTTGATTGTTACATGTACATGAATGCATTCCAATATTAGATTTAAATTAATGTCAAATTGCTTTATATGTTTCACCCTTTATGAACATCAAATCTAATCAGTAAATATATGGTATCGTCTGCTGAGAGTAAGAAGGATGTTAACTCTGTCCTAAAGCCCCACCGCACTAGTTTTGCCACAAGGGATTAGACCTCCCTGCGTGGTCACTGACAGGTGGTTATCTCATCAAATCAGCTCTCAATTAACATAAGAAAAAGGGGATCATGGGAGACCAATGGTCACCAATTAGGCATTGTTTGCTATATAGAGGGCGCAAGTAGCTACCAGTAGTGCAGTGGGGCTTTAAAGCGTATGCGTTAACATCCTTCTGGCTCCAAACAGCCAACGTTTCATAATCTGTCAGAAAGTAAAGATTATTTCTTTAAGCCTGAGGTCCTATTAGCCAAATCTACTGGAAAAAAATGAATTGCGGGTATCAAAACCATGATTTAAAATTGTCATTTTAATAATAGTGACCTTGTTATACAAATAAAACAGTCAAGAAGTCAGAAAATCCTAGATGAAATACAATATTTATCATTAACTGGAATCACCAAACAAATATGATTAATTGCAAAATTTTGTGTAGCTCTTTTACCAGTCTATTGTCAGTGCATTTATGCTATTTCCTATGATTTTTATATTTTATTTTTGTATTGGATTTTCTATTCTTTATCTATGCTTGTTCCATAGAGATTATTTGTAAGTGAATAGTCAGCTAAAATTCTGGATGTATGTTCAAATTTCAAGGTTCCTTTTGTTTTTTCGGTGATGGGTTGCAAAAATGCTAGAAAATTCATTGATTTTTGCACTCATATATAGGCTTATATTTATAAACCCAAGAACCTTAAAATTGTATGCTTGATCCAATGAGAGAATTTGTTCTTCATATCATTTTGAAACTGAAATGAATTTATTTTCCTGATTTACAAATACATGTACTTCAAGAAAATACACCATGAATTGTTAGTTTCATTATAAGTTTGATTGAATATTTAAAGGAAGTGGGTTTATGAATATTATGTAATTTACATTTAGGCAGGTTTGAGAAGTTTTGCACCAATTGCATGCTGGGTAATTGCACAAAATGCTAAGTCTTAGTTTAAAAATATGGGAAGGGAGCATCATTTTGGATATGTACAAAAAGCGATAAATATCAGCATGCATTATTTATTCACATCATTTTAGGACTCAAATAAAGGATATTTTGAAGAGAATTACTACGGGTGTATGATAACAAAAGTGTTTCTGTCAAATGGATCGATTCGATAATTTAGTTTATTCAATAATTGAATTCTACAGGTGTCTAATTTTCATATTGCACGTAACATAAGCGTATTCTAATGCATAGACATGCTTCATGTACAGTTTTTCGCCACTATAGACAAGTTTGTGTGCAAGATTGCAAATTCTCAGGTATCAAAACTATTTATATATGCTGTATCATGCTAGGACCGGCAACTAAAAATAACTTTTGATGACACTTTTGACTCATATGCCAAGATCTTGTCCAGGAAATTAAAGCAGAAAATAAATTTGTAGTCCACAATCTCGGCCTTCTTCAACAATCATAGGCTTCATACCTTAAATTCATAAATTACTTAATATCCTGAATAAAAATTGCCAGGGGGACTCTAAAATCTAAATCAATTTCATTTGCTATGGATGTTTTGGATTAGTGTATGACTTTTTGACCATCCAGAGTTTGTGTTAGGCTCATACGATGAGCTGGGCTCATACGATATGAGCTGGGCTAAGGTGGGCTAACTGGCAAATTTTTTGTTTAAAAAGAAGATGCATACACTATACTGTAGATTTCAGGTCTGATACCATTGTGTGAGAAACGCAATCTATTGATAGTTTCCTTGTAGCAAGTCCACAGATTTTTATACCATTTTTACACGTTGAACATGTTTTTGTTGCATTATATACATGTATATGTGTATGCATTATCATGTCACCATGCTACGTTGTATTTTATTATATGTATATCTGACGTTATATTGTTCTTTGTCTATATCTTTCCCCTCCCGAATAACCTGGATTCCATGGGACATTTCTTTCTATTTCTTTCTCTTTTTTTCTTTTCTTCTTTGCTTTCCTTCTTTCTTTTCATGAATGCACACTTTTGGAATCACAACTTTTTCAATTATCTCTCTCTCTCTCTCTCTCTCTCTCTCTCTCTCTTACACACACTCTTGTTCTCTCTCCCCCTCTCTCTGTTTGTCTGTTGTGTTTTTTTTATTTTTTCCTGTCGCTACTTTCCATCTCTATGTCTATAAATCTCACTATCTTTCCATCCTTTTATCTTTGTCCCTCCCACCATCAACTCCTTCCTTCCTTCCTTCCTTCAATCCAATCGCTCCTTTTTGTCATCCAAGTTTGAGCGGCAAAAGGTAACTAGCGGGTATATGTACAGCACCTTGCTCTTTGCATAATTTATGTTGATTTGATGATGAGCCCCTCCCACAAAATGCATTATTCATGAGGGCATGAGCTCATGCATGTAACTTTGCACCCTTTGTATAGTTGATTTGATTTTTCTCTTCTTTTTTGTTGTTTTTGTTAAGCTCCACTTTGCTTTTTGTCATCCTCTTTCATTTACTATATTTGTAGCTTTACATATTGTAATCAAGCTCATTGTTTTATTTTCTTTATTTTTAGTTTGCTGATATTTCTAACATTGATTTTCATTTTATTAAATGAGAGGGAAAGAGACAAGAAGAAAAATGAAACAGAAAGGGTAAGAAAGAAGAACAGGAAGAAGACACATTTTGAAGGGAGAAGAAGAAGAAGAATGTAGTTTTAGTTTGAGCAGGAGAAAAGGGGGAAAAGAGAAAGAAGCTCAAATAAATGATGAGAAACAAATTGATGAAAGCAGTCAGATTGCATGTAGTATTGATTTTTCTTATGATTTTTTTTTTTTTTTGGGGGGGGGGGGGTAAATGGTTTTAATTTCGAAGTGTACATTTTCTTTTTCTCTAACCTTATATTTTTATCCATGACTATGAATTCTTATTCTGTATTTAGTCTCAATTTCCCATTTTTTTCAATTTTCTTTTAAACATTGGCATTTACGATATTTCATTAATTTTATGTTTTTATATTTTCTTCTTTGTTCCAGCATGCTTTACCAACGAATATGATTGGCTGCATCATTTTCTCATTTCTACATTTGATTAATTCATTGCATTTTACTTTTATTTTCCTCTTCAAATTCTTGTCAAGACTATAATGTGATTTGCATTTTGAAAGATTTCCATTTTCATTTGCATGTTGCTATGCTTCCAATTTGATTTCATTTTTAATAGATGAAATAGATAAATGTAGATGTCCAAAATGGTGGATAAATATTAAGCTCTTAGATGGTCATTCATTAGTATTTTTATCTCAATTGAGATTAACCATTTTAGTTTGGTTTGATTTTAATTGTGTACATGTCATTGATAGACCTGAGCAAGTTCAAATATCTTGGCTGTCCAGTGTTCCATATCACCCAGTATTATGCCTTTGTGAACATATATTAACATTGTTTTTTTAGTCATTTTAGTACCTTTTTGGTCTAGTCTAGGCTCTCGTTGGGCTATTTTAATTAAAAATTAATGCAATAAACACGTCTACTAACATCTTAGATATGGTCAGGAACATTTGGGATCTGAAATTATAATTGAACTTGCCCAAGCGTAGAACTACATATAGATACACATACAATACGTTTGAGAATATCAATGACGAACGTTCATGTAGCATTGTGGTAGACTATCAGTAGTACAGTCATGTAAGCGTTTTTGAACATTTTTATTTTTTGATAGTTAGGATTACTAAACAGAAATTTACCCTGTCGCATACTTACAATGAAAAGGATATTATACTGTTCATCTATGAACTGTGAACAGTCTTTGTGTTACTTTAATTTCAAGTAAAGAATGTTATAGTTTCTGTTATGACCAAACAAAAATAAATTATCAAGAAAGAATGTAATTTGTACAATCAGTGTTTTTTTTTAATATTATTTTAATTACTTCCTTTGAATGTTTCTATCCCATTCTCTCAAAGAATCTGGTAAGAGAAGCTGTGACAAAGATGGAAGATGTCAGGTCGCTTTTCCAGAAGCGCCGGGAAGGCCTGAAGAACATCATCGCCAAGTTTGAGAGGCCGATCGTCAAGATGGCCCCCGTGGCCCCCCTCCAGCACTCGCCCCACTCCTCCACCTCGACCACGCCCCACAGCTCGCCCTCCGGAGGCAGGCTGGGTGTCCCCCACAACGGCACCTCCGCCCCGGTCTCGCCCAGGCAGAAGCATAAAAAGGGCAAAGGGCAACGGGTAAGATATACCAATAATGCAATGATTTTCGATACTCACTTCCTTCATATATTCTGTTTGGAGCCAGCAAGGGCATTAACACTGTGTTAAGGTGTATATATGAAAGATGTTCATGCGTGGGTATATAGTCTTTCGTGAAGTAGACAACTTGGCGATTACTCCCGATCACTACATAACACTGAGCCAATAGGTATTACGCTCCCGTGCGTACGTTCGTGTGCTGCCCTCTATATACCCACGCTTGAGCAACTTTAAAGTTGACGCCCACATGGCTCAAAGTATGCAATACCTTCAACAAATTCATGATATTGTTTAGAAAAGTCTAGAATTTTAAGACTTCATTCCCATTTAAAGATATGTAAGGGACAAAAAATGTCACCATTTAGGTTATTTTCTACTGCAAAATTTTGTCTTTTAAGCATCACCTTGACATCATTCTAACTCCAAGCAGACCATTTCTTGGATTCGGTCGATCAAGAAAAAGTTTTCTGTTCGGAGCCAGATGAACATTAATTCATATACATGTACTTTAACACTCAGATAGTGCCTTTCTGTCGCTGAACAGACAATATTTTTAATGTGGCATTACAACCGTTGTTTATATTTTTCTCCTAACTTTTATGCAAGAAGGCAAATATATAGCATTCATGTAACTCAATTGCATGCTTAGAAGACATGAGATAACTTTACTAACCCTATTAAAAAAGGCCGCTTCAATTAAAGGCTCGTTTGAAACATTAACATACATCTCAATTCAGAGAGAAAGAGACACACAGAGAGGGAGGGAGGGAGGGAAGGAGGGAGGGGGTTGGACAGATAGAGAGAGCAAAATAGAGTTATGTAAATTAATTAAACACATTATTTTCCTGTCTTTTCTCATTTAAAAATGCAGCAAATGTTGTACATAGAATGTTTGCTTGTTAGAATTTTAAAAAATACAATTCCCCTAGTTAAAATTCAAATAGAACCATTTATAATTTTCAAATGATATGTACATTGTATCATTATTATTAGTTGAATATTTCGTTTTATTTGAATGACTTTAGATCATTCTTATCTCTTTTTTTATTTGATTTTGACTGTCTATTCTTTTATTATTTTGATTCTTTCGTTACAATTAGCTTCACCCATGGACTGACTACCAGCCTGTATTTTTCACTGATGTTAGTCAGGTCTGCTTGTTCAAATTCAAACTTGCAACAAAATAAGGAACAAATAAATAAATAAATCATTTTGGAGACATTTTCTATCTTTCTCTTCTTACATGTATTTTTCTGGGTTTTTTTCCCCTTATGGTTCTGTTGCCAAAATAAGCCAAGTATAGTTGAGGTATAAACCAATAGACAATATTTTTTTTAATTATCTAAGACAACCATTTTTTGCAGTAGGAAACTGTTGTGAAATGCAAAAAGTGCGCAATTTTTTTGGGAAAAGTATTAAACAACTTGGTTGTAACTGACAGTTTCATACATTTCACACTGACATAATTATATAAATGTACATTTGTAGTTTTGAAACGATTTTCCAAATTGTACTTGGCTTATTACGTTTCTTTTTCCTATTTGCATGCGGGGAAATGCTGGATTTTTTTTTTTAATTTCCTGCAAAAAATAGATCTCTCTTAAAAATTTTAGCAAAGCAGGATTTCAATGATAGCATTACATTTTGTAGTGTTCACAAAAGTTGAAGTTTAGGGAAGTGCAGGGAAATTTGACCAAAGCAGGATTTGAATGATATTGAGCATTTCATTTTGTAGTGTTCACAAAAGTTGAAGTTGGAAACTTTTTGGGAAGTGCAGGATAATTATTTTCTTTTTTTTCTGACGCAAATGATTTGAATGATATTGAGCTGTTCATTTTGTTGTGTTCACATTACATTAAAGTTGGGTACTTTGGGGTTAGTTACATGTATATATATTTTTTCTTTCAGCTGCTTTCGTTTTGTAATGGTGGGTTGTGTGGCAGTTCATATAGTTTTACTTGCATTTGCTAAAGGAAAAGCCAGATAGTGCTGTTGGGGTTCATGATACTGATTTAGGTGCTTTAAGATATTGATATTAGGTGAGATTTTCAAACATTGTTTTGTCTTGGTTCACCAACTAAGTGCATTCTTTCATAAACAGTTTTAATATTAAATACTCAATTTTGTTGTTGTTTAGAAGTTAACACCCGGCAACAAGGGATTTGTAATTTTGGGATGGATGCTTTCTTCTTTTTCTTCAACTTTTGATCGTTGTAATCTTAGTTTTCAGATTATTTTTTTTTAAATTTCAACTTTAAAACAAATTTTTTCTTAAAAAGAAAATTGGTATAAAATCATCAGAGCAACTACACGCTTCAAAAATTTCACTCCATGCTTTCATTCGTTTGACATTCGGGAATGATTGAATTATTTTTCATTTCATGCTCAATTTGGTATCAGTTTTCGACAACTTTCGTCACCCAGATTTCAGCTTCTTTGTATCTATCTGACTCACCGTCACTGTAGGGTTTAGCCACTTTATAAATAGACCGATACAGCAAGGTGGAGGTATAGCTAGAGATAGAAAATGACATCAGTAGAGAGTGAATGATAGTATGAGAGAGAGAGACAAAGGGGATGTGATTCAGTGAGAGAGAGAGAGAGAGAGAGAGAGAGAGAGGGGGAGAGGAGAAAGTGATAAAACATCTTGGTATTCTAAGCTATTTCAAAATAATGATGTAGATTAAATCTGGATGTAGACTTTCATGATTGCTCACCTTAGTTAACAGAAGACCTTAGATAGAGACTGAAGAGAAACAATCTATAAGATAGAGATAAGAGAGAGAGATCAAGAAGTAGATATATGTAGAAACAAAGAGAAACAAGTCTTGAGAAAGTGAAGGAGGGACAAAGAATGACAAAACAGATTGAAAGAGAGAGCATTAGAGACAGAGAAAGTGCAAGCAGAGATAGAGAAAGAGAGAAAAGAGGAGAAAGACAGAGAAGAGACAGAGAAAGAGCAAGAAGAGATAGAGAAAGGGAGAAGAGACGGAGAAACAGACAGAGACAGAAAAAGAGACAGAGAAAGAGATAGAGAAAGAGAGAGAAAAGAGACATAAAAAGAGGGAAGAGACAGAGAAAGACAGAGAGAAGAGAGAGATAAGAAGACAGAGAAAAGAGACAGAGAAAGAGACAGAGAAGAGACAGAGAAAGAGATAGAGAAACGGTGAAAGAGCAAGAGAAGCAGATAATTAGAATAGGAAGCTGATTCAGTGTTGTCAGGAACAGGGCTTGCATGTGTCCAGGTATATCTTCACTGCCAATCACATTAACCCTCTGACTCTGGCCCATACTGTAGCCCTCCCAAGACACCCATTCCACAGTCTGTGGTTCGACTCAATAACTTTTGATCCCAAACCCTCATAAATAAACCAGATGCTTGAATAGAAAGGGGGAAATGTCTGTAATTACTGCATCTTATTTGTTGCAAGATCATTTAATTATTACTGCGTTCGATGCCAGGATTTTAAAAATTGAAGTAACCTTTAAAATCCTTAAATTGGCAACACGCTGAGAGGTTCAAAAACATTGTATTTCTATAAAAATTGGAAATTTCTCATCTTTTTGACAAAGACTTTACAAAATTGTAAATTGTTTCAGAGACCTTACATTTTACTAGAACAATGTAGAAGTGTCTTTGTCGAGTGGATATGTCAGCGGACTGTGGATCACAAGGTCCGCGGTTCAAGTCCCACCGCGGCACTAATGTCCTTTGGCAAGACATTGATCTACATTTGCCACTCGAGACCCAGGTGTTAAATGGGTACCTGGTAGGATGCGAACGCTAATGTGGTTTGATTAGCAATGGCGCTTGTAAAATGGCGACTGGCTGGAATGCTCCCCAGGGAGTGGAGAATGTGCATACCTTGTGTGCAGGTAAGCATGAATCCGATGACCGGGGTATTATCTGTAAAATAAAGCGCATTGAGAGGGCCTGCGGTCCTGAAATACGCTATATAAGGACGAACTATTATTATGTAGCGATAAGAGAAAAATATGTTTGTTGCCAATTTGATGATCAACATAACAAAAATCCTGTCCTGAATGCATGGTGGTGCTCGAGGCTTTATAGGGTGACCACTGAACAGTCCTGGCATTCTATAAGTTAAGTAGGATGAGTCGCTCGTCTGCTTTGCTCGTGATCCTTCCTAGTGTCTTCCGCCCAGATGATTGTTAGGGTTGTCATCGTTATAGTTGGACAAAGGGCAGTAGGATTTTGACCACATAGCTTTAGAAGCTCCTGTATAACCACAGGTGATTATACACTGCCTTTCTTTAGGACATCTCTTTGACTCCTCTTTTTGTTGCATACCCCCCCCCCCCCCCTCCTCTATTCTTATTCCCTTCCTTAAAAAAAGGGCTCATTTAGCGATTTAATTTTGAAAGAAAATGTTCACTTGTTTTTACTAATGACTTTTGTAATAGATTACAATCATCATACCTCTCACCTGGCTAACTTCTATTCATTGTGCGGTCGGGTGGTCGCGTTACACGACCTTTCATGAGACAAAAGCGGAAGATGACGCGACCTTTCGTAGAATTGTCATAGGGCTATCACAAAGTGTGGGGTTCATTGGACCAGACCGTTTGTAGATGAGAGGGGTTTATTTCACAAAGATTACCCCTGAAATTTCGTGAATAAAGGGGCATGTTTTCACAAAAGGTTTGGTAATGTGATGATTCTAGGTAAGCCCTCTCTCCCATCATCATTCCTTTCCATAAAACAATCAAAACAACCTGAAAAAGAATTAATCGTAAAAGAAAAGGTTAATTGTTTTATTAAATTACCATCATATTGATTCTAATGTACATCATGTGCATAAAGAAAAACACAGACTTTGGTTTCAAGGTTGAGCTATTAATTAAATGAAGTAAATTTTAAAGTACAGTGTTTGAGAAGAAGTAATAATGGATACATACATGATGTAGCATGAACATTCTTCTTATTGTTACATTAAAAAATTCCTTGAATCTTTCTTTATATTTTTTATTTGTTTAATAATAATAATAATATTGGATTCTTATATAGCGCACGTTTCGACCTTGCAAGGTCCTCAACATTACCCAACTATGCTAGGCTGCCTATTTCGACGCTCACAGCATTTTAAGGAATTCCTTCCTACCGGTACCCATTTAACACCTGGGTGGAGAGTGGCAAATGTAGATCAATGTCTTGCCAAAGAACATTAGTGCCGCGGCGGGACTCGAACCATTACGATGTCACTGGCAATGAACAAAATATGAACCGAAAACCCTATTCTTGATCCAAAAAAGAAGAGTAAAGAAAATCAATCAAGATGTTCCACATGATGGATTGAATGTGATCATTATGTCTCTCCATTCCATTTCAGTTTGGCTCAATTGCTGCTGCATTTAATTAACTTCTAAGATGTGGTTATTAATTATAATCCTTAATAATGGGAAACAACTCTTTTTTATTCCTTAGTTTTGTTTTTGAAGAAATTTGAAAAAGGCCACCGGCTTTCACGTCCCGACGTGACCTGCGGCCGAAACTGATCAAATTACGGCAAAATCTGTGATAGTCATCATGGGGTATTAGCGGATTTTGACAAGTTTTCTTTTCACCCCTCTGCTTCGTTAGCAAACCCTCTCGAGTCCATCTCAAGCACCAAATCCACTTTAATATCTTGCTTCCTCGCTGTCAAATCCATGGATGGAAAAACGGTGGAGATGGCAAGACAAGTTCTGTCTGGGAATAACTCACCATGTTGCTTTGTTTTGTTGTTGAGGGTCTCTTGTTTCGTGTGTGAGCATTGGCAATCAATCAATTATGAGCTAGCGAAGGAGCAGGGTGTGAGTCATAACTATGTATTAGTGGGACTAAGTAGTTACAAATTCAAGTATGAGGCAACTATTGTATCATATTACAATGCAGTGTAAGCATTTTTTTCTCCTTGTATTGTTTATCATTCCTGTTAAACTCTATGATATATTCCTCAGAAACTTTGGGGTTTTTCAACAGAAAATATGGCACTGTTTAGATGCTATTAGTTATCATCACCGTCATCATCGCATCACTTTGTTGCTAGATCAACTCTTCTGTTTGGATCCAGAAGGGCTTTAACCGAATATCATTTCACACAGAATTAATTCCCTTTCAACTCCAACAGGCAAAGTACCTTCTATAGATAAGTAGGTAGTGGTAGAAGTAATGTCTGTTGTAACATTATGGTGTCTACTCTTCTTTAAAATGTAGTTGATGTTACCGCTTTTACTTCAAATAATGCTTCTAATTTGTATAACTATGTTTTCCACGTTTTAAAGACCAGTGCTAAATTTAAAAGCGATGCATTATGGAAAGATAGATTCACTTCTGATACAACACTCCATATTAACTCCCAGAAATGTTGAGAATTGATCGCAGTATCAAAGAATTAATGCAAGACTAGAGTATTCTCTATCCAGATTTCATGGGTGCCTCAGCATAATGCTCCGGTCTTCATTTCATCAAAGCTGTATGGTTAATGTTTAGGTTGCATTTGGCTTTTAAGTTAAGCTTGGGGTAAGGGTTAGGTACAGTGTTTGGTCAAGGGTTGAAGTTAGGAATTGGTTAGCGTTGGAACGATTTTCACTGGAGCATTTGTCTTAATGGCAAACATTTCAAGGCTTAGCTGATTTGTAGCAATCATCGCTAGATTCGATTGTCCTTCTCATCTCTTCTCTCTGTTAATGAATGTTTGTGTTTGCAACCATTTGTTCAGAGCCAGAAGGATGTTAACCCCTATACTTTAACATAAAGATATACATCCTCTTGCCTGTATAAGTTTGCGGCAAGCTTGCAAGAGCTTTAGATTGCGCTCCTGCAAGCTTGCAGCAAGTTTGTTGTAAGATTGCGAGCAAGTTTTGCAAGCATAAATTTTTAATGCAAACTTATTAAGATTGCCACAAGCTTGCTGCAAGCTTAAGTTTCTGTATGGGTAATTCGCTTCTGTCTTTATCAAAGCAGATACAATGTCCTTTAAACCTCATCCGCTAGATATCTCGGAAAGACGCTCCTCTGGAGTCTTGCAAGGAAATGTTTCCAAACTGTTGCATGACTAAACCCAGCCTGCCCAGGGTTGGTTAACCTCAACCTTAGGAATAAGAAGTGAAGGCTTTCTTTAGCATTGTTTTCATTAATAAGAGTGACAGGGGAATGATAAAGAGCAGGGTTGAATGCAGCGAGTTGCCCCCCTCCCCCTTCCCCCTACCTTGCGACGGCCACCACCTGTTGCTCTTGACTGCATTGTTTACTGTGAATAATGGGTGATTGTTGCGAGAAATGTACTCCCACGACAACTTGACTGCAACTTTGTTCATTGTGATGGGAGACAGAAAGGGGTAAAAGAGGTAAAAGTTGCGATGAATGAAATTCCCTTATGCCTCCCAGCAGACAATGCAATTACACTGCATTCGCCCCTCTCTTGTTTACTATCTATCCTTCTCTCTGTCTGTATCCCCTGTCTGTCTCTGTCCCTCTTTCCTTTCTTTCTCATCTGCGTTCGTTCGTGTGAACCTTCACTTCAAGAAAACCGCAAAGTTTACAACCACAATTTAAACTTAAAGTTTAAGGACACTCTTGTGAGTCTAGTTATTATTAAAAGTCTGTTTACTACTGTGATATGCATCTCTCCCTGGCTGTTATCAATAGAGGGCTCCAGACAGCCACATTCAGATTTAATGTCCTGCGAGACAAAAGATACACATACCCAAATCCAGGGGGTTGGGGCGAGGAGGGGTAAAAGCGGAAAAGGGTTTGAAAGACGATGTGAGGTCTATCCTGTATAAAAAACTATCAAGGTTTATTGACTGAGTGAGTCAGAAAGAAAAAGCTAGACGTGAAAGACAACAGCTAGGACACAGGGGTGGTCATCAAAGTCCTCAGTGTGGACACATTTATATGATGAGCAAAATTGTGTCAAGAAAAACATTTAAAGGATCACAGAAATTAGATAATAATTTCTTGTACAAAACAATGACCAAAACATTATTTGCTACATTAGATGCCTCAGGGTTAGTTAGTCCCTGGAAGTTCTCTGGACTGTCTGCGTGCGCTACATTTGCCGGAAGGCTGTTCCATTCTGGGATAGAACGTTGGGCAAATGCAGACTTGTCTATGGCGCTTTTGGCTTGGTGCATCTGGAAGGTGATGTTATGGTGCTTCCGTGCTCTTGATTTGTTAAAAGAAAACAATGCTTTCAAGGAAATGGCAGAGAGACCATAGACTTTCTTGTGCACCTTAATGAGAGTTAACCTTTGTTTTCATCATGAGCAGGTTTAAAGAGTAAACACTATTCATATTATTACTATCCATATAGATAAGGCTCAAACAAGTATACCCTAGAGTTTTTGTTTGTTGGTTTGTATGTTTTGGGTCTTTTCAGTAAATTGGTTTTGGGGGAATTTTCTAGATGCTCAGCAACATGTAGAACCATTTGGCGTAAACATGTAGTGGTTTCTTAGCATCATTTTTGCTTATCCATTGTCATAATTCTTGTACAAAAAAAGACTCTTATCATTTTTCCTTCTCTTTACCGTACCTGCATGCTATAAAATTGGTGGGGGCAAGGAGTTCATTAATTTCACTTTTTAGAATAGTTTTCATGATGAATTTTGCTGAGTGAAATGGATGTGGTGTGAAATAGGAATATCTGCAAACAACTTAATTAACAAAATTGTGCTGCATACTTTGGGAAAAGCAACATGGAAATTCATGCACATGCGCATGCGTGGAATAGCAAGTTAGAATATTGTAGAACAGGGACCCTTTTCACAAAGCCTTTTTCAATGACAAATGACAAAAATCAGTGACAAATCTGCTGATAACCAATCAGAAGGAAGGATTTCAGTAGCTTATAACGAAAAATGTCATTTGTCACTGATGACAAGTTTTGTGAAATGGGGCCCTGATTTTTCTAAAAATGAATGTATCATCTGTAGAGGACCAGAAGGGCGCTAACTCTTTAAAATATATATATGTACATGTATGGATGAGTTAACACCCTTCTGGCTCTTCACAGGCAATCTATAGAAGAGCATAATTATATAAACACAAGTTGGCAACTCTGTGACGTATGTTAATACGAGGTCCCCTCCCAATTGCCTGTACTTAGAAAACTTCAAAAATTATATTTTCCCTTGGGAAAATGATCAATCATACATTCACTGTAAATATAGTTATAGATGGATATATATTAGATTTAAAAAGTACCATAATTAGTTGTCATATATAGATCCAACTTATTCATTTAAAAAATAAATTCATTATAGTTTTTTAAGATAATAGAAGGACATATAGATTGAGTGCCATAATTTGTTGTCATATAGACCCAACTTATTTATTTATAAAATTCATTCACTCTCTGTTATTCTTTCAAGAAACAATGATTTTAATCTCCACTTTCCCTCTTTTTCTCTCCTGTTCATCTTCAGTTGGACCGTAAGATCGAGATCATCCGCGACGACTCTCAGCCCATGAGTTTCAGCAGCGACGGGGAATTCCAGGATGAAGTGGATTGCAACTCTCTCAGTTATAAGCGCAGGTAGAATTACGTGACGTTTAAAAGCCCTTGTCTTATTAATGAAACTGATTTTTTTTTTTTGGGGGGGGGGGCATAGGTTTCGTTGAACCATTAATTATACAGTTGTGAAATCATTTTTAATCTATTTGTAAGGATATTGTCTCGGTTAGTAAAGCAGAAAGACTCAATAACCTAAAAGCACATTGAACAAATTCTTAGTCAAATTAATAAGCCTGTAACTAATTTTAAAAAATATATAAAGTTAGTGTAGTAGTTACCGATATTGAGCATTTTTATGGACATTTTTCAGTTTGATTTATATTAAAAAATCTTAATGAGATAACTAGATTGAAATATAATAAAACTGAATAGTTGTCTGCCATCTGTTGATTATATCAAATGCATTTTTATGATTATTGTTTTTTTTAAATTGAGTTTAAGAGTAATGGTTACAATGTTTTCTCACTCTTTTAATTCAAGCATAATTAATTGTGTATATCGATTGAAGTCGATACATGTATACATTATACATATATGTTCACATAATTGCATGGATATTATTAGAACCTATAATCATTGCACTGATTTAGAATATTTAAAAGTTGTTAATCCTTTCCTTGCACCTCACCGCCATCTTGTTTCCTCTGTATCCCGTTCTGTGTGAAGAATCCTCATGAAAATGGGTGTGTGTCCCAAGTCCTACGCTCACCAAGACAACGGGTTCCATCACTTCGTAATGGAGAAGAACCACTCCAACTCCTTTAGATCCCTTGCTCAGTATAAGCTGAGGTCAGTCTGCCTCCCTCTGTGCCTGACTGCATCTAGGCTTGCCTGCTCGACTATATGCTCAGCTCTGTACACGACTGCGTGCACGACTCACTGCATGGTTGGCTTGCTGCTGCCTGTTTGTCCTGTGTGTTTGCATGTCTTTGATTTCATTAACCCATGGCACACACAAACCAATTGGTCCATGTGTTAAGCCTATGGGAATGAAAGAATTCAGTAGTCTTTGGGTTAGATACATATCCGCTCGACCAAGACACCTCTACACGGATCTAAGAAAGCAAAGAACCACATAGACAACAGCATGAACAGCATGTGCTTGATAGTGGCTCGAATGGCCTGATTTTTTGTTTTGTTTCCCTGCTAGTTCTGTTTGTAAAGTCTTGAGCACTACGAAATTAAAATCGAATCCATTTTTCCTTACAGGATATTAGGATGTATCTTTTTTTAATTTTTTATGAATAGTCTTCACTTGTGCATATACACATGTATGTCACTGATATGACATTATGCATACGTTACATGGAGCATGGTTTTAGAGCATGCAGCGATAAAGTTGTTTCACAACAAATTGAAAGTGTTCACAACAAACGGAAACTGTTTACAACAAATTGAGTCTGTTCACTCGCAACAAATTGAGACTGTTCACTCACAACAAATTGAGACTGTTCACTCACAACAAATTGAGTTTGTTCACTCACAACAAACAGAGATTGTTCACAACAAATTAAGTCTGTTCACTCACAACAAATTGAGACTGTTCACAACAAAAAGAGACTGTTCACTCACAACAAATTGAGTTTGTTCACTCACAACAAACAGAGACTGTTCACAACAAATTGAGTCTGTTCACTCACAACAAATTGAGTCTGTTTACTCACAACAAATTGAGTCTGTTCACTCACAACAAATTGAGTTTGTTCACTCACAACAAACAGAGACTGTTCACAACAAATTGGGTCTGTTCACTCACAACAAATTGAGTCTGTTTACTCACAACAAATTGAGTCTGTTCACTCACAACAAATTGAGTCTGTTTACTCACAACAAATTGAGTCTGTTTACTCTCAACAAATTGAGACTGTTCACTTACAACAACTTGAGACTGTTCACTCACAACAACTTGAGACTGTTCACTCACAACAACTTGAGACTGTTCACAATAAATTGAGTCTGCTCACTCTACGAATTGAGACCGTTCACTCACAACAAATTTAGACTCGAATAGAAATCCTGCAGTTTTCAGATGATATGACCCACTTTTAGACCAAATATTTGCTTGGTATTAAACTTTTGGTTCATTATTTGGGGGCCTACATTTTGTGTATTAAAACTTTAAAAGTTTTGTATAAATTGGACATTGCAGCATCATGCATGAGCATCTTTTGATAGCATTCACAGATTGTCTTTGGAATAGACAGAATAAGCATAGGATATGTTATGAAGATACAATACCTTTTACCCGATATACCTTTTATGCAGATATTGTTTATTTTTAAATCTGTTGCCAGCTCTGTGTCAATTAATATTGTTGAGACAAACAGAAAAGAATGCCAATAGTGCAATGATGCATTATAACAAAAATTGTCTTTTTGGAACCACAATGGTTGTTTACAGACGATACTGTATGTTCTCATCATTGTGTTGTGCATGTACTTTGAGGTTACTAGTAGTAGAAATTATCCGTGGAGAAAAAACTCCAGTAATCATTTCACTTTCTACTCTTTCTGAAAAACCATGTCTTTGAAATCCTTGACCAAAGTTATGTATTTTGCATGCTCACTGCTCCCAAATCCATCTTCCAAAGATTTCCCATCATATGTTGCTGCAGTGACCACCTCATGATGATATTTCAATCATTACTTTAGAATTAAAAAATGAACTTTTTATGTTAAGCCCCACTGCACTACTTATAGTTACTTGCACCATCTATACAGCCAACAATGCCTAAGCGTTGCCTGTTGATCCCCCATGATGCCCTTTTTCTTATGTTGAATGAGAGCTGATTTGATGAGATAACCACCTGCCAGTGACCTTGCAGGGTGGTCTAATCCCCCTGGTCAAAGAAGTACAGACAGGCTTTAATATTTGCATTATTTTGTTTATTAAACAGGCATGTGATCAAGGAGTTGATAGAGACAGAGAAGATCTACGTGAAGGAGTTAGAGGCGGTTTTAAACGGCTACATCAAGCAGATGGATAGCCCCGCCTTTGCGGGACAGATCCCTCCCTCGCTGCAGGGCCACACAGACGTACTATTTGCCAACTGGGAGCAGCTCTACAACTTCCACAAAAAGTGAGAGACGATGAGGGGAATGAGTCGGTGATGGTGGTATTGTTTCTAGTGGGGATGGTGATGAGGGAGTAGTTGGATGATGATGATGATAATGATGGTGATGATGATGATGGTGGTGATGATGATGATGATGATGATGATGATAATGATGGTGATGGTGGTGATGGCAGTGATGATGATGATGATGATGATGATGATGATGATGAAGGTGGTGATGGCGGTGATGATGATGATGATGATGATGAAGGTGGTTTTATTGTGATTTTGATGATGAATGATGATGGTGATGTTGATGGTGTGGACGGTGATGGTGATGGTGACAGTGATGGCGATGATATGGTGACGATAGTGTTGATGATGATGATGATAATGATGGTGACAGTTATGATGATTGTGGTAGTGGTAATGACGGTAATGGTGATTTTTGTTGAAGAGGAGGAGGAGGAGGAGGAGGAGGAGGGTGGCAATGCATGATGATAACCATGATGATGAAGATGATTGCAATTTTGAGAGTAGTGATGTAGATGGTGATAATGATAATAGTTCTGCTGTTTTTGATGCTACAATGTACGTCTAATAATGATAATGTGCTGACCTAAATGTATGTATGAGGGTATTCATGTAAAATTATCATCAACTGATGTTAATGATTTTTATATTAAAGTCATATGATATTTATATTTCTTCTTTAAAAACAGTAAATTCTTGGTAGAACTGGAGAATTACAGAAACACACCCACCCTTGTCGGCAAGTGCTTTGTAGATATGGTAAGTATGATACACATTTATATATTTTTAATCCTTTTTTTCCCCCTTTTTTTAATAAATAATTCATACATATTTGTTTATGGAGATTCAAGCTACCAGTATTATATAGTTTATGTTATTTTCTATCATATTTCTTCTTTTTAAAGAAAATGCTCTCTTTTTTTGATTCTCTAAAAAGCAAAAATAAATCTATCGCCTCTCTGCAGGAGCATTAATTGTTTAGTCCAAAAATATGAGTTAGACATAGACACAAAGTTTTTCACATTTTGTTTTTTTGTTTTTTTGTATGGGTGTCATGCATGGCAAGCGAGATTGGGTTTTCTGCAGCCGGGGAGTGTTGCTGGGGCATTCTCAAATGCATGAAGTATCTTCAATGTTATTATAAATATCTTATTCTTAAATTTGTTGTCTTGTTACAGAAAGATGAGCTGGATCAGCTGTACAGTGTTTATTGCCAAAACAAACCCAGGTCTGAGTTATTAAGGAGAGAATGTGGCTCAAACAACACATTTTTCCAAGTAAGTCTTCAAGTTCTTTGATGTTTGATGATTGTTTACCGTACTGCTATTGATGAAAGCATGTGCTTGTAACTACGCAACCAGGGGACCGACAGCTGTGAGTCCTCTCTGAGGGACTTGGTAACGAGCGTTAATGCCTTACGAAAGTGCACGAGTGCATTGACTTGATTGATTAATTCAAATTGATTTCATTTCATATCAATTGTTTGCACAATGAAGAACATACATGTACTGTAGTTCACAAAGTAAGTTCAAAATTATGAAATGAAACAGGAACGTACTGGAAAGCATAGCTTGTTTTGTGTAAATTCCCAAGAATAAATATAATATGAATATTATTTTTATAAATCATTTTAAAGTGTCTGAACAGTTTTTGTTTTTTAATGTCATTATGCAAAGTCGTATTGAAATAATTTGTGTATTAAACCATGTATTTTGTTGTGTTTTCTTTCATCAGGAATGCCAAAAGCAATTAGGTCACAAACTACCCCTGAGTGCGTACCTCCTGAAACCCGTTCAGAGGATAACAAAGTATCAACTCCTACTGAAGGTACGATAGCGTCAACTAACAAATTGGCAACACTTAACAAATTGGCAACACTAACATTTGTATGTGACTTTACGTCATGTTCCCATTAGAGTATAATGTTTATTTGTCATGCAAATATGAATGAAAGAATAAATGAAACCATTTTAGAGCGGAGGATATTAAAGTATCAACTCCTACTGAAGGTACGAAGACGTAAACTTACAAATTGGCAACCCTATACAGTTAAACCCGCTTTAGTGACTACCTGTCTAGAAAGACCACTTTTATTGTTTCCCTTGAAAATGGTTTCTCATGGGAACGTGTATTAAAGGAACCTATCTACAAAGACCACTTTTTGTGTATTCCTTTGGCGGTCACTATATACAGGTTTGACTGTACCATCGTTAATCTTTCTTATTTTTGTTTTGATCAGGAGATGATGAGATACTCTCCGATGGAGAAAGGAGCGGACGATCTTCAGGCTGCTCTTGACTGCATGCTAACAGTACTCAAATATGTCAATGACTCCATGCATCAAGTAGCCATTACTGGTTATGAGGTAAGTCTGCATTTTGTCCGTTTCTTCTTCTTCTTCTTTTTCTTCTTCTTCTTCTTCTTTTTCTTCTTCTTCTTCTTCTTTTTCTTCTTCTTCTTCTTCTGTTGAAGTACAGGCCACCATGTGGTTGGTGTATCTTTGTACTACTTTGAGGTTGTGCAGATATATATGTACAGTGCCATGGAAGATCTAATCTATGTGCGGTTAAAAAAAACAGGCGCAATCCTAGCGCAACTATGTTTTCCACACCTCAGTCTTGAAGCTGGCTACTGAGGTACAGGCAATGGCACTTGTTTGCCTTTGTGTATGATTGAAGTTGGGGCATATGATTAGTTTTAAAAATCGACTGAGGAGCAATTGTCACTGGAATAGTGAGACACTTGCTCCAGTTATAATCGCTGCACTGGCAATTTCAAATCAAGCAAATTCTCAAGTTCAACCCTGAACCGAGCACCTAATACCTATGACCCTAACCCTGATCTTAAGCCTAACCTAAAGCCCAATTGCTAATCTAACCCTAACCCTATACTTTTGACAAAATGATACCTAGAGGAAAGATGTAAGCTAGTGCAAATGTGTTGGAGCTCCATTGCTCAAGGAGGTGTCGCAGTACCTTGTTCTTTTCTGTAGGTTTCCATGGTCAGTGAGTATTTTCAATAGGAGCCTGGTGGTAACATCAAAAGTGCCTGCTTGTGGGTTCTTTGACGAAAGAATATACATGTATAAACAGCCTTTTCAGTTAAGCTACCATATGGTGTTACCAGCCTTTAGATAATCACAAAAGGCTTTAAACCTCTCCTCTCTGCCACCACCACAACACATCTTGGACCACATCTTGCAGTGCGGTGAAACGGGTTGCACAGATGAAGACCTAAACAATTCAGCTTTTTGCTGCAAACGATATTGTTGAAGATGAAGACCTGGCCCTTGTAAATGAGACGGGCATTGCAGCCATCCGGCGATGGAAGAAGTTAATTTAGGAACTTTACATTAATCTTGACCTAATGAGACACAAACAAACGAACCACTACACTTTTTTATTTTCTTCTCGATTCACAGGGAACCCTTTCTGATCTTGGCAAGCTGCTCATGCAAGGACCCCTCCACATGTGGACGGAACACAAGAGTCGTCACAATCTCAAAGACATCCGACAGAAGCGCATGCAACGTCACATCTTCCTCTACGAGAAGGCGGTGCTCTTCTGCAAGCGGAGGGGAGACATCAGCGACAAAACATTCTACGGCTACAAAAACAGTATTCCCGTAAGTGTATGCTCGTTACAGGTTTTCATAACTGTGCATGTAGTTATTAAAGTAGGACTTCAGTCAAAAGCATAACAAAGTGCACCTCTAGTATATAAATAAATTACCTTCTTTTTGTATTATTATTATTCTTTTGTGAAAGAGTTGGTTACATAATATCCTGTATGATAACAGTAGTGATGTTTCCATGTCTTTCGTATTTTGAGAGCCAAAAAGATGTTAATTCTGTTTTACAGTATATGAGTTAACGTCCTTCTGGCTCCAAACAGACTATATTATAGGCTCTTTAAATGTGTATGTGCCTTATGACCTTATCACTGTTTAAACAACAAGTTGATTAATACATGTGATAAATATGAATCAAAGCATCAGGTTTTATTTTAGGTTCATTTACATATATAATAATCGCTAAGAGTTGTATTAAAGAGACTTGATTCGTGTTCTGATTAATCCTGGATTATTTCAAGAAGGGATTTTGCCGTGACTCCTCAATTTGATTCAGCTGCGAGAACTCTATATGTAAATCATGCAGCAGAGATCTCAGCACCGGGATTAACATTTAATTACCTTTTTATAAAATCTCTTCTATAAAGCTTCCAAACATTCAATATATGGAGAGAAAAAATTTGTGGAGTATAACCATGAATCTGATTTGATTTTCACCTGTTTTGCATGTTGTTATTTTCCAGACACCGTCCTTAGGTTTGACAGAGCATGTGAAAGGAGACAAGAAGAAGTTTGAGTTATGGCTCGGTGGCCGAGTGGAGGTCTTCATCTTACAGGTGAGCAGGATAATGAGATGAGGATGGAGGAAGAAAAGATGGTGATGATTATGATGATGGTGGTGGTGGTGGTGGTGGTGGTGGTGGTGGTGGTGGTGGTGGTGGTGGTGGTGGTGGTGGTGGTGGTGGTGGTGGTGGTGGTGATGGTGGTGGTGGTGATGATGATGATGTTGATGGTGGTGGTGGTGGTGGTGGTGGTGGTGGTGGTGGTGATGGTGGTGGTGGTGGTGGTGGTGGTGGTGATCGTGATGGTGGTGTTGGTGATGATGATGATGATGATGGTGATGGTGGTGGTGGTGGTAGTGGTGGTGGTTATGATGATGATGGTGGTAGTGGTGGCTATAATGTTTGGAATGATATAGGGGAGGAGGAGGAGGAATAAGATGTTGGGGATGATAAGGAGGGAAAATTGTGTTGATGTTAATGATGATACTAGTGAGGAGGAGGAGGAGGGGGGTGATGGTTATATTAATGGTAATGGTGATGATGATGACGATGGTTGCAGTCCCTATAATGTTTGGAATTATGATGATAAGAAGGAGGGAGTTATTGATAAATGACTCTGAAAAGAGGAATGGCGTTAACATAACATGGTACTTGTTATGGACATAAGATGGAGATGATGTTGGTGGCAATGATGATGATGATGATGATGGTGATAAGGAGGAGGAGGAGGGTGATAAAGATGATAAGGATGATGATTATGATAAGGAAGATGATGTTGATGATAAGGATTATGATAATAATTTAACTAGAAGGACACTCTATTATTCCAATTATTTCATTTTACTCTTTTCATCCCTAAAAAAACTAAGTATGTATGTAATACTGTTATCTTGTCACCCTCCAAATCTAGGCACCAACAGAATCTGACAAGATAGCATGGACTAAGGCAATCAGACAAGCCCTTCTAACCAACAAGGAGCAGACAGGTATGAACAGAACCACATGATATATGTATGGGGACCTTTCACACTCGGCTGTTTCCTTTTTTTGTAGTACCCCATTCCTGACTTCAAGTGAAAATGTTAGGTGATTCTCTATAGGAATGTACTATAAAATTAAACAGAATCAGTTGTCAATCAGACAGGTATGAACAGAACCACATCATATGTGTATGGGGGACCTTTCACATTTAGCTGTTTTCTTTTTTTGTAGCACCCCATTCCTGACTTCAAGTGAATATGTAAGGTGATTCCATATAGGAATGTACTATGGTCAGTTGCAGTGCGGTTTATTTGTTTGATATCATCAAGGACATTTTGGGGATGCGACAGACTTGCTAATGTCAAATGGTTGCAAAATTTGAAGAAGGATAATTAAAATATGTGTACCCTTCACACGGGTAAACAAATTTAAAGGTATCCATAGAACAGACAAATAATAATGCTGCTGTAAAAACATAGCCTAGGATGTTATTGTTTGTCCCATATGTATATTTAATTTTTTTTTCTTAAAGAGCTCAAGGGAGGTATGAAAAGTGGCCTCTATGGACAAATCCTTATGTACTATTTCCTAATAATACACTAGTTTTTATGAGAAATATTGTTATTTTGGAACATGGGATTGGTATAGAGAGGTGCATGGTCTTCCTCTAGATAGATATTACTGCGACTGGGTGGTTCCTGTACTAAACCTATAGGCAATATGAGAATTAAGTAGTGAATGGGTAAATTAGATGTCAAAATTCATAGGTCAAGACGTTAAAATCTACATTTGCCACTCTTCACCCATGTGTAAATGGGTACCTGATATGCTTGAGCGCTAGTTACTTTGGCAGCTTGGCTTATAACCAGGGTAATATGTGTAAAGCGCCATGAGCTTGACAGCCTGGCGGCTACCGGCGCTTTATAAATATCTGTATTATTATTATTTTTATTTCTATTTATTAATTCAGGGAGAAAAATCTCAGCTACACAGAAGCCAATCATTGAGAATCACGTAGAAGCATTGCACGCCAACACCAATGCTGGTAACAACAACGGTCTCTCGCTCCCTTCACCGACCAGCGACTCGTCGTCAGCGGGTAGCGCAAATCCCTCGCTTACAAGTGAACCCTCGTTAGAGAACGATGAGGAATACGACGACTGGGGCAGCGCAGAGTTCACCGATTCGGAAGATGAGATTTTAGATCGGGATTGCCTGTCTGAAGTGAGTACTAGTAGAGGAGGACTGTTTTCTTCTGTCTATCTCTGTCTCTCTCTATGTCTCTCTCGGTCTCTCTGTCTCTTTTCCTCTCTCTCTCTCTTTCTCTCTATCTCTCTCTCTCTCTCTCTCTCACCATCTCCTTTTTTCATCTCTCTCTGTTTTTTCTCTCATTCATACTTTGTTTTACTGCACTGTCACTTTTTCTCCTAGAGACTAGAGAATTAATTAGCTAATTAAATGTATGTTAGGCAACAACAACAACAAAACACCAATCACAATATCTTTTACTTGATGGCATCAATTCTTTTCACTTTTACGTAACGTCATGTCAGACATTTCTCTTCCTTCCGTACTCCATCTTTCCATTTTTCTCTCTCGCTTTTTTCTCTCCTAGTTTATCTATTTTTGTTTGTGACCTCTTCCTCTCAAAACTATCTCAACATTTACATCCTCTCTGTCTCTTTCTCTTTCTACCTATCTTTCTCCAATCCATCACATACTTCTCTTAAAGGCATCATTTAACAATGTTAAATCTGAGATGCATCGTGTTATCAGTGTCTGTGATATGGTGTAATATTGAAGCCACTTAAAGATGATCATGAAGTGCCTCAAAAAAGTAAAAATCTTTGAGTGACCAGTTTTACCATACTTATTTTCCCCAATAGACTGTAGTGTTTGAAAAACCGTTAGAAAAACGAAAAATGAAATTTTGATTTCCATTATAAATATCTTGATAATCAGTCAGGCGATTGGCTTGGTATAGTCATTGGATTCCTGACTGACCTAAAGGTTTATAATTATGGTTGCAGCATGAGAATCTGAGGCAATGTTACAGAGGTCTTTAAGGTCTTAAATTTGGAGACCCTCAAAATGACATTTGCAAGAATACTATTCTCATCAGTGTGTATCCATCCCTCTCTCTCTCTCTCTCTCCAGCCCGTCGACATGAACCAGTACGTGGTGCTTGCCGAGTACAACGTGGTCGAGCCCGGGGAGCTGTCCGTGCGGGAGGGGGAGATCGTAGACGTGCAGAAGGTCGGTAAATCAGGGTGGTGGCTGGTGCGCAAGCACTCGAACGCCGACCAGGGCTGGGTGCCGGCCAGCTACCTGGAAATGCTTGCTAGTCGCATCTCACGTTCAAACCACTCCCTAAGCAGTCAAGGTTTGCATGCTTTACGTTTTGTTTTATGATTTCTCTATGATTTTATTTTATATTTTGTTTGAATTTTGTTCACATTATGATTTCTCTATGATTGTGTTTGAATTTTATGATTATTGTATGATTTTTTTATTCATTTTGTTTGATTCTAATGCAAATTTCATTTCATTTTTGTTATGATTTTCTGTTTGATTTTTGATTGATTTTTATGATGTATGATTTTATTATGTAATTTGTTTTTAGTTTTTTGCTTCCCTCAAGATCTAAAAAAAAAATTTATTTGAGTTTTTTATTTATCTTACTTTTTTCTTTTTTTTGTCCACTGTTTAGTCTGTTATTTTACCATATTTTCTGTTATGATTTCTCTTATATTTTTGCGCCTGCTGCAAGCATTGCATAGTTAGAAAACAGCACTTCTCTAATAGATACAAATACTGAATATAACCTGCATATACATGTACATGGAAGTTGCTTCCTTTATATCATCATATGGAAGGAATACTAGGGTCCTGTATTAAAAAGAGTTGTGATTGATTCAAACCAATCTCTAGTCCTAATCGATTGCAAGTTTGCACTCTCCTGTCTCTGATTTGCATAGTTGCGATTGATATCAATAGCTAACGGTTAATTTATTCAAATCTTTTTTAAGACAGGGCCCAGATCAGATTATTAATCCCTGATGCCATAACAAAAAAAAATTACTTAATTTAACAAAATTCTCAAATCCCTATGTGAAGATCACCCATGGGGTATGTTACAGTTGTGTATATCATGCATTGTCCATGGACGCTAGTCCAAGATTTCTTGGGCATAGTGTCCATTGGTTTAAACCTTCATTTGATTAAACAAAATTCTCTGTTGGAGCCAGAAAGGTATTAACTCATATACTTTAACACAGACTTATCGCCCTTCTGGCTCTCAAAAAAATATATATCTGTTACTAGGCTTACTGTACAATTGTATATTCAAATCACTCCTTGCATTGTTTTCATTTTTGTTCTTATACCGTTGCATTATGAATTTATGCTTAACTTAGCATGCTTATTGTATGTGGTACTTGACTTGTTATCAATGCAGTATCTGTATCCAAGCCCAATTTCAATAAACGGTAAGGCTGCGCCCGTTTAAATATGCCAAAAATTGGTCTACTAGCGGTTGGAGAAAAAAAAAATTGATTTTGAAACATATCCAAAAAAAGAATTTTCACTAGAGGATTCATTTCACTTTTTTGTCTTCATTTTCACAAAGCCACAACTCACACTCTTATACATTTACCCGTACATTAAAGAAAACCTCACCCTAAAGAAAGAGTGTAGGTATGCTAAGATATGAAGAAAAAAATTCCCTGCCTGATGTGAATGTACAGTAATTTAAAAAATATACATAAATTTAGATATTCTTGGCAAGAAGTAAATTAAATGCCTTTCAGCATGACATGGTCGAAATTATACATGTACATGTATCATGCGCCAAGTTTTAGTCCGAAATACTTTTTAATTCAACAACAAAACCCTTTCTTTTCAATTCGAGAAAATCATAGCTGAGAAGATAAAAAATATATTTACACTTTGTAGAGAATCTTGTAGATTAATGGCAATAATACAAAAGATTTCTCAGAATAAGTTATTTCTTGGGGTGAGGTTGCCTTTAACAGACATGTCACTAAATCATTGATATGCAAAGAAACAACAATACAAGAGACGGAGGATACCAAAGGTGATTGGTGGTAGAATATGATAGTGTTGGATGGCATGAAGACTTCAATGTAACATGCACATTATTTTCATGATGTGTTTTGCTCGATTTTTGTCACCTTGTGTTAATTTTGTTTTGACTGCGAAGGGAATTTCTATAAATAGTTATTGATAGTTCACACCCATTCTTAGGTTCTCCCACACCCACACCCGTTTTTTCTTCTTTTGAGCAAAAGATTAATTAGTAATTAGTAATTAAGGGAGTGATAACAGTTGGATATTACCATTATGAATTTTCAGATGGTAAATTTAACTCTATAAGGGCATTGGTCAACTATTAGAAATACAATGGTTTACCACAACCAACTTTCGGCACACATCCATGTACACATACGTGTACTGTGTCCATTCGCTCCAAACGATTCAGTAGAGTTTCGATCTATAGAAAATAAATTTTGTGAATAAATATTTTTGAAATAGCAATTATTATTTTTCCATTTCGTATTAACCTAACCATATCACTATCACTTTCTTCATCTCTCTCTCATTTAATGAAAACTTAACCCCACCCACCTCCATCCCAACCATGCTAACAACTCTTCATCTCTCATGCGTTATTAACCCCCATCACATGCTTGCCGACGCCATCCTCCTTCATCTCGTCCCTTCCCATCATCCATTGCGGCCAAACAGACTCCTTCTACATCTGAGGAGGTCAGCTGATCATTGATCAGTGCGTGGGCTAGAGAGGGAGCTCTTCAGAGGTAAGAGAGTTCAAGGGTTGATCGTGCCGTGACTTGAAGTGCAGACTTGTTCTTGTAGACTTTTGCAGTGATTATATAGAATTCAAGAAGTGACAGTTTTTGTAGTTTCTACTTCTTTAGACAAATTTTGTTTATATATTATGAGTACCGTAAGTCAGCTAATTTTGACCAGTGGGCTATAGAGGGAGCTCTTCAGATTAAAGGGAGGTTAGGGTTGATGTGTTTTGAATTGAAGTGCAGACTTGTTCTCGTACACTTTTTGCAGTGATTAATTCCGGAAGTGACATTTTTTCTATGATTAAGTTAGTAGACTGATTAGTAACTAGTGGGTTATAGAGCGAGCCTTTTTTAGGAAGGGCCGATTAGGGAGTTGAAAGGTTTTCTTTTGTCTTGAAGTGAAGTGCATGCAGACTTGTTCTCATACAAAGTTAGACCGAACTTGTAAATGAGGGATTTAAACTTTATTTAAAGGGTACATTGTACATGAATTTCATGGCAAACATTGACTTGATACTGAATGCCCTGTTTTCAATGCCTATTTCAGTATTCAGACTTTTCTTGATATTTATTTAGGTGTTTTTCTATCAACAATTGTAATTGAAGAAAGCTTGCATTGTTAGGCACTAACATTTATTGCTCTATTCTGATATCATATTGCATAACCCTCCGCTAAAGTATTGCAGAAAAAAATCAAGATTGGCACTTTTTGCAACCCATTAATTATCCAATTTTTGTAAAAGAATATAACACTCACCCATTATTTTCTTTTACTAAATTACCATTTTTTCTTTTTACTAAATTACTATTTTTCTCAAATTTGCTGTCTGCATTCTTCATTACTAACTTCCATTGTGACAATATAATCTAACATTTGCTCATAATCATAACTAACCTAGCATGGACCATTGGGGTAAAGAGTTTCATCTGAATAATGTGTAGAGTCAGGGGAGGATTTGGACTGAAATTCGACTGGCCCCTTCGGCATATAAGATACATATCAACTGGCCTTCGTTCCAGAAATGGATCAGCGCTCAAGCCCAACAGTTTGAATGGCTCATGGGGAAAACTGGAAAGCCAGTCTGCCCCTGTATTGAGTGGATAAATTTGCAGTTACTTTCATTGTGCATTGTTCTACTGTATATAAAATGTACTTCGATGAGAGCTACATACATGTACACATAATAATAATGATAATAGTGGCTTCTTGTATAGCGCTCACGTCTGTCAGACTTGACACTCTTGGCGCTCCAGAATTGTAACTCTAGCTTTAGCATGGTTGTCATTATGACACTCTAGCATTTCAAGGAATTAATTCCTGTCAGGTAACAATTTACATCACCTGGCCTGGGACAAGTGTGGCAAATGTAGATTAATGTCTTCCCAAAGGACATTAGTTCCATGGCGGGACTCAAACCATGGACCTTGCGATCCGCAGTCCGGTGACGTATCCACTCTACCACCACACCTTTACATGTGTGTCTCATGCTGTACATTTCGTACCCAACTTTAAGCCCCACTGCACTACTTGTAGCTACTTGCTCCCTCTATATAGAAAACAATGCCTACCGGTAATCGGTGACCATTGGTCCCCCATGAGCCTCTTTTTCTTATGTTAATTGAGAGCTGAGTTGATGAATTAACCACCTGTCAGTGACGTACCAGCAGGGTGGTCTAATCCCTCCTGGCCAAACTAGTGCAGACGGGCTTTAAACTAATCGTTTTCTGTCTTTCTTTCTATGTCCATCCTTTCCAACAGAGAGTCCGGATGAACGGTAAACACAGAAGAGTGAACGGGAAGAGATGAGACACCGTGACCCCTTGACCTACCTTGACCTACCTATCTTCGTTGCGTGCTGGTCACACAGTCAGACACTCTTAACCCTCAGACCACTGAATGCTCAAGTTCCCATAGGCTTGACACAGGGACACACCCGGTTTCCAGGAGTCAAGGGTTAAGTGCCCTCCAGCAGTCAAGCATACATAACTAAAAACTTCCCATGTCATACAACATTCCCGCTTCCATGCTCAAAGCGTATGGAAGACAAAACTGTAGCTATTTTCTGATTTAGATGTTGCGGATATGTGGAGAGATTTCCAAAAAAACTGCAAGAATTGGACAACAATTTTGTTATTGTGGATGATGGTGACTCTGAATATTGGACACTTGACTTTATGAAGTGGCACCGTTTAGCAGATCGAGAGACCTGTCATCTTTAGAAGTTGAAATACAGCATTTGATTGATCATAAAGAAACATGTACCTAGCTACAAAGCACCACCTACATATATACATGTAGGCTTTACTGCTATTCCTGTGTAGAGAGAGGCAACTGTGGATGAAATGCCCAATGACAGGGGGAAAGATCAGGTGGCTTGGATTTGAACCTCTGACCCTACAATTGCACGCCAGTGACATAACCAGCAGACCAGATGGAACAGCATCTTGGAGAATACATTCCGTGGAGCATCACCATGACAACAAAGATGGAGAATGGATGTCAGGACTGTATGGCGCCCTCATCGTAATATCTACTTATTTTCTCTCTTCTCACAATAAATTTATATATGTCGTGAAAGATGTTAGCTCACCTATGATGTCTTTTCCAATATACAGCGTTAGGGAAAGAAATATACACTACTAATAGTGTTTAATGTATTACATAATCATGTACGGTCTCATAATGCTTACCAACCTACATATACATACGATCTGTTCTGAACCAAAAGGGCACTAACTGTGTTAAAGAACATATTCCTCAGAAAGTATCTGCTTAAATTTGTTTCAGCTGTCACATTTAATTGATTTATTCAAAAGAGTAAAGACAGAGATTACCAAATACTCACTGTTTTTTACTAGTTTCAGGCTCTCTTTAAAATAATATTCTTAGTAAAGTGATCCATAACTACAGTTTTGCAAGAAACTTACTTTCTTTTAATAGACTTTTTAAGTGGAACATATATCCTTGATAAACTATACCTTTTGGAAGAAAAAAAGATATATACTCACTAATTGTATTACTATATACAGCATACTTAAACCAATATGGGCATTTCTAATTACTTGTTAGATTTTGTTTTTATATATTGGTAGGAACGAGCAAATACTTGAGAAGGTGTGTCGATATGCCATTTTTCGTATTGTAATCAAATTTAATGCATACGTCTATGTGAATTAGTGCCTCGATACAAATGAGTCCAATCGCCTGTTACAAGTAATTATATTTCAATAGTGAGAATGCAAGTTGCATATATTGTGCTATGTTAGGTAGGGCAAGCCATAATGTTTGTCCTACCAAGCAACATATAATGCATGCCATTCGTATTCTGACTATTGAAATACAATAATTTGTAACAGGTGAATTAAATCATTTGTATTGAGGCACTTCACAAAGACTTGTGCATTAAATTTGGTTACATTACGAAAATGGGTTATTCTCGACATCTACCAAAAAATCTTTACGTTCTACCTCTACTTACAGTCATATTATGTTATGTGCTCGTAGAATTTCATAATGTATGTACAACTTTTAAAAAATCTGAAATGAATTGATTTAATCTTCCAATTTTTTGTTGTCATGCTAACTTTTTGTTCTGTGGTGCACAAAATGCAGTTCATTTTCTTTTTATCAGCAATAATTCATGCTTCTATTAGTATTTTATTCAAAAAGTAATGTTTATTTAGAGTCAGATGTTTCACTCATCCATTCATTATTTTAATTTGGTTGTTGATTTTGTTGCTGTTGTTGCTATAACAACTTTTCTGTAAGATTAAAATGAGACTTGAAAAATAATGAAATTATGATTGTATGTAAATATATAATAAAAATTGCCAATGTGAAGATGCTTAATGATTAACTTGCCAGTGCGTAGAACAGTAGCCTTTGTTTTATGTTTCCACATATCCATTGAGAAAAGTAAATGATTTTATTTCATGTAATATTATATATTTTCCTTCTTTGCTGTCTTTTCATGGAAAATTTTAGTTGCATTTGTTGTTTGGCATAAGAGATAAATATATCGGTAGAATATGATTTTATGGTTTTATAGAAAACACTTTTCACTTTGAGCATGACATAACAATTATGTTCAGTGTACCATTGTCAAAAAGTCAAGAGGTCTAAATATTTTACAGGGTGTTTTTTCTTTGTATAAATCAGGTTGTGAATGAATGACCGATTTGTTTTGCAATATATTTGATTTCAGTGACATTCGTCTTTTATTAGTGATTTGTACATGCTATATCAAGAAGCAGTTTCTATTTGCCCTTGTGGTTTTTGCATGATGGTTCATAAACATTTATCACTTATTCAAACCTTCACTGTAATTCATCCGATATCACTCTCCATTTGTGTTTGCTTTGGAAGAAAGGAGTTATTTTGCAGCATTAATCTCATAGAATGAACATATAAATTAGCCATTACATTTATATATTCCTGCTTGCAATGCATAGCAACTTGCTATTAAACATCATTGTTTGGGTATGCGTGCATTATGAACATCCATGGTGAGAATAACTATTGGCGTATGTGCTTAAATGTATATCTGTTATAAATTACTTGCAAGCTATCAGATTTTGTTGTGTTCTGTAAATGAATTGAATTATTTATGTATTTATACTTGGTTTTATAGTGTTTTTTGTTATGTTACTATTCATTCTCATACTTCTATTTTCTAGACAAATTAAATTTGTTCAAGTAGGATCAATTTTATTTATGCCAGATTCCATATACATGTACATTTATAATTGTTTATGTGCAAATCTATCTTTAATTGAGCCAAAGAAGTATCGCATTTATAGAGAAAATTGTATATTCCCAGAAAATCATGTTTTACATACCAATGCCAGAAATGGAAATGTGTTTTATGGTTCAGTAAAATTCAACAGTGGGGAAATGGGCCAAAGAGTTAGGACTTTGAATCCATATCGATATATATCTATCCTTTCCTTATTTTTTCAACATTCTTCCTCCATTTTGTTTGGATTTTCCTTCTTAAAATCATCTTTTTCTTATTCTGTTTTTTCTCTCCATTCTCTACTCTTCTTTTCTCATGTCACAACTTCTCAATCCACCTCTTTCACTCTCTCTCTCTTTCTCTTTCCCTCTTTTTATCTCTCCTCGTGTTTCCTTCGTCCCACTCCCTTTCCTTCATCCCTCTCTCTCTCTTTCCCTTTCCCCTTCTTATTTGTATACCCACTCTCTATCTCTCTCTCACAGACACACAGTCACTTTTCTTTCATCTTTTCTCTCTCTTAACATCTATTGTATGTTTAAAAAAAGGGATATCAAAGCAATGTATTCGGGTTATAAATCATGATTTAATACAAAAATAAATGATTGTTAGGTGTAAAATATTTTCAAAGAAATATTACCCACAATCACATAACAGTAGAACTGTTTTAAACTAAAGATTAATGTTGATTATATAAAACAAAAATATATATAAAAGTAATGATAAGTTGTTTCCATTAATGTTGTAATGACAGCTTGATTTTGTCATCTTGATTTTTTTTTTCCTGGAAATATTTATTCGAAATGTTAAACACTTTTTGAGCCCACCTTTTAAGTGTGTAATAAAATAACAATTAAGAAGAGTATATCAAATACAGAGTTATAATAAATAAATATATTGATAGATTGAATATTTATACAAAAATGCCACCCATGTATAATACTTTTAATTTTGAAAGAAAAACAATTATTTATGGCAGAAATACTTCTTGCAGCATTATTCACAAAAGAGAGATGTATACATGTATATCATATAAAAACACAATTTGTTTACTCATCAAATAGTCATGTATGCAAATATAAGCAAATCTGACATGTGGTCTGCATTTGCAACATTAAAGAGGTGAAGCCAGTCTAAACTTATGTCCATTACTCCTCTCATTTACTATTCATCATCTTGCCTGAGGGTGGGAGAATTATTCCTGACATAGCACCAACTACAGAAGACCAAGGAAATATATACATTTCCAACTATTTGTTTTACAATTATGGAATACCAAAATTTGATAGTGTATTTAAACCAATGAAGAAAGCTGTATAAAGTGTACATATGGTATAAAGTCTGTGTATGTATAATAAATATATATTATATACAAATGATAGAAACTATTCACAAAAGATGGAAATTTGCTATGTCGCTATATCATATATATGTATATTGCTCTGTGCCAGTGCACCAAGGGAGATTAATGAGGACTTAGGCCCATATTCATACAATGTGCACTAACTTTAAAGTGGAATTGTGGAGCACCATGTGCCAATCTTCTGTAACTTTCTGTAACTGGGTGACCAAATATAAAATCATGTCAGCATTAAATAAATTTCGCATTTTCATTTCCTAACTGGATTTGTTCCATTTTTTGTTAAAATAGAATTACAGTAATTTGTACGGAATAAAAAGCAAGACACTTGCTGCTCTGTATCTCCTGTGATTCGATGGGCTTGGTCTAGGCAGGGAGATGGGATTGGATTATCTTAGGGTAGGCATTATGTAATCAGTTGTAAAGGCGTGTTTCTATAATTTAAAAAAAATAGCCACGACCCTTTAATACCCTAAGCCTACCTGGGACCCGTTTCACAAAGCCTTTTTTCAATGACAAATGACAAAAATCAGTGACAAATCTGCTGCTAAATAATCAGAAGCGAGGATTTCACTTGCTCAAATAGAGGGAGCTGAGTGCAAATGTATTGTGGCTATATTTATAAATGTGCCATCACACCTGACTACATAATGCCTACCTTTTATCGTATTCCACCTTTGTGAGTACAAGCCTTGGATTTTACATCGCAATATATGAACCATCAAATATGTAGATCATGCTGTTTCCCGATGGACATTTGGAGGAAGAAATTGTGAATAAAGAGCATATAGACAAAGAAAACATTATTTTGTGTCTGGCTTGTTTGTGCTTCAGTCAATAAAACTCCATATTATTTGTTTGTGGTTGTCTGTATTTACTTGTTAACAATTCCAGTCAATGGAACAACCAAAGATTCAAGTAAAATAAGTATGTTAAATGTGACACCATTCCATGTACAGTCAAACCTATCTATAGCGGCCGCCCAAGGGAAACACAAAAAGTGGTCTCTGTAGACAGGTGGTCTTTGTAGACGGGATTCTTAAAGGTAAAGACCAGTATTGGAAACGCCCCAATTTCAAAAAATGAAATGGAAGCTCTCATTACCATTCATGTGAAAGAATATGTTTTGACTAATACATGATGATAACAAATTTGCCGGGAAACCGCCTACTAATTCATATATTTGGTAAATTTGTTTCTCTCATGGTCTGTGAGAGATATAGGGTAGTCCCATATACATCTTTCTGTGTATAGTGCTTGTAACTTTACGAAGAATGGGCCAAATTTCTTATCATTTTGATGATTCCAGAACCTTGCAGATGCTAGATGCTAGATGATCAACCTTTTCTGATCGATTCCACAACGTTTCTTTCACAATGCAATCGCATGACCATAACTGGTCTTTACCTTTAAGTACATGTTTCAACGAGAAACCATTTTCAAGGGAAACAAAAAATGTGGTCTTTGTAGACAGGTGGTCACTCAAGCAGGTTTGACTGTATAACTCTTATATCATCCTTCTCATCCTTACACATTGATAGACAATGTACCTATAAAAAGGGCCCTTTTGAGAGTTTATTGGGCGCTTTTTTATAACTGTCAATTTCGTATTGACACACTTTTACAATTTTGCCCGTAAAATGTCGGCGTGTTTCAAGCTCCACTTAAAAATCGCCCATATACGAGCCTCGATCACCCAACCGAGGCTAGGAATGAACACGTAATCAACCCTTGTCCTTGTATTGATAGCAAGTAATTCCTGGAAAGATTCCCTCGAACGATTGTCGTCAAATAACGTATAGTAGGCCTACTGCCCTACTCCAGTTTGATCATTTCAATAATCTGCAAAGTCCTTGATCTGTCTGTTTTTGTCAGTTCAATTTTGTTATTCTTCAATTATCGCTGTCATCCCTTACACGCATTACAGACAGCAAGCACGGCCCCCGAAAAAACACTCGTCGAAAAAAAAGAACTTCTATCATTGTCAGTATCGTATATTGACACACTTTAATCTTGCACGAAAAATATCGGCGTCTTTTAGACCCCACTTTAAATTCGCCCACATACAAGCTTCACCCAACCGATGAATAAATAACACAAGAGATTAATCAAATTAAACATTATAAGCTTCCAAACAAGTCTCGACCTTTAACAAAGTTTAGCAGACGAATACCTGTCATCGCATCACATAGAACACTCCTTGTGGCACTATTTAAACTTCCCGAAAACTATGATATACTAAACACGGTATTATTAAAGATCAAAAGGCTCTGTTTGCTTAAAGCCGTACTTCAAATGAAATTTCGGCACCGTTTTTCCTTCATCTAAAAAAAAAACTCCTTCCGACATTAATCAATCAAATACAGGTTAAAGGATTATTCACATTTCTGCCAATAACAGGCCTTTGAATTGTTATGCGACAATATTACCCCTTTGATACAAATTGATATTTCACTAAACGTACCAATTCACCTTCATATTTAATAAAAAAGATCTTTGTAATCTAATATATGTATTCAAATGACAATGCAACTCTCCGTCCTTTCAAGAATGAATGATTTGCCTAGATATTTCAGGGACGACATTAATTCATAGTTTCTAATGCCGGCTGCAGACATGCGTCACTTACAAAAAATGATTCATCCAATAATTCATATCACATAAATAGCAACTGCACATAAAACGTAACTTCCCGGCGTCATTTGATTCGGCCAGTTGAAGAGAATTCAAGCTACACATATCCCGGCTGCTCACGAAGCGTCAATTAAGTCCCTCCGTCAATTGCTCATTTAAAAGTCACTCAATCCAAATTAAACAGTGAGCGACTGTTCACAAGATTATCCAACCCAATTTTCCGTGCGTAATTTTGGCTTGTGTGGATTTGATCATTTGCTACGCTGCTGTTGCGTCAACGCCGACTTTGTTTGGACAAATGCATAGTCTTACACTATAGGCCAAGGCACCCCTGCGTCAACGTGTTGCGTCGTTGTCTGGTGTCTTTTGCATTCGTATGTCTAAAACGCCATAGAACGACGTACACAAGGGACCCACGGGCAGCCGGCATTCAGTAGGCTTGAATGTCTGTATTGACGCAGAGCCGCAAAGATAATGACGTAGCGTCTGCAGCCGGCAAAGATGACTAAATGAAACCAAATTACATTAAATGTACTGAGTGATACAATCTTTGAAGACCAATAGCATGTTAATTCTCAAATAATACTGCTTTCTTTTATAATATAATTCAGCAAAAAAAAAAGATTTTCATCGCATCATCTCCTTGTATGAATCTCTCATTTGATCGCAGGACGCTGAACTGTAATTTTATGTCTCTTTGTATAGGAACTATAATGATGTCTAGGTTATCTCCAAGGTGCCCAGTTGCTAAGGTCACCTGACCCTGCTAACCCATTCACATAGATACCCTTCCGACAACTCCTGTAAAACTTCCCTCTAGACATCACTCTCCTATTAGGCGGTGACAAATGTATAAGCTGTGGCACCATACCGCATAGAGAATCTAAGCTGAACCCTGGCCCGGAAATTTGGACGGAACCCAAAGTCCGCCACTGGTGGAATTTGTTGTACTCCAAATCTGACGCGCTGAGTTTGTAAAGATAGGTTGCCAGTGCTGCAGGAGACTCAAAGTCAGCTATGTGGATGAACGAATCTGGAGGAGCAACTTTCGTGTAGGCGAATTTCTTTCCGCCGTAAACCACGGGCACTGCACCAGACGACAGAGCGCGCTGCCAAAAGTTTAGCGTAATGAATTCGTCGCAGGCCGCCTCCTCCAGCGAGAGGTAAAATTTGTAGCCTTTAAGTTCTTCCTTGCAGTGCGTCGACGCGCACGTCCTGTTCCCGCATTTCCCATACATATCAACAGAAATGTGTTTGCTGAGCTCGCGTACGTACTCGATGCGCGGCCAGAATGTTCTGTCGCAGTTGTCTTCAACCCATGCTACGAGACCCTTCTTGCCTTCTGCCCAATTCCGCGCGCTTTCTTCGCCAACCCCTTTGCGATACCGACCGTAAGGTATCGGCACATCCGATTGGGAATGATACGTCATGCTGTAATGGTACTCGAAATTCGCCATGGATGGATCGTAGTAGTTCATCATCGGAGAGCTGTCCAGAGAGAAAAGGTAGATCTTAAGGAGATTGTCCGGAGTAAGACGCTTCACTTCTTCCATAATCACGCGCGTCTTATTGCGCATGCTCTTCGTGCCTGGTCCTACGAGCACTGCGCTGCCTTCTGCGATAGTCTTCGCTGAAGTACTCGCACGTAAGATGAGATCACACACATTCTCAGGGCATTGGAGAAGGTAGTATCCCATGCGGTATTTCCTAAAGGATTGGTACAGTTCCTGCCACTCGCTGTCGTTGGGCAGTGCGTTCGTACCAGGGGTTAAAATCGTGACGCGGTTGAAGCAACCCATGGTCTCCCAAGAATCTTTGGTGATCTTGACGATATCCTTGGAAATGTTCCTTGGAAGCGTGTAAGGGACAGGCTTCAGGGCCGAGACACCCGACCCAGGTAGAAGCGGAATGTACGGTTTCAATGTAGGCTCCCTACCTAACTGTTTCATTGTCGTCTCATTGTTTGTTTTGATTGCCTGGGTATTAACCGGGACGTTTTCATTGACAGTCTGTCTCTCTGGAACAATAGTCTTTTCTTGCGATATTATTTTCTTGTCGTTCTTTGACTCTGTACCATTTTGAGTGGCCACTGATTTATCCTCCGACCTCTTTTCTCGTTCACTCTCGGGAACATTCAAACTCTCTTTTCGCTGCCCCCCTTGTGCATCCCCCTCGGCCATAGTAACCGGCACCTCGGCGGGGGCAGCGACTCCCATTTCGACAATGACATTAAACACTGCCCTTTCAACATCAACAGCACCGCCGCTTTCCTGCCGCGATAAGAGATGCAAGGCATCTGGGATGCGCTCTCGACTGTGCACACCCTCGGTTTCTTCTCTGTGGATTCCCGCCAAATTTGGCGACATTCGACAGTCGGCTGACGTCTTTTCCTTGATCTTGCTGAGAATCTGTGGGTTGCTTATCCAGCAGCCGTTGTGCAGGGCGAGAAAGGCCTGAATGAGAAGCCACAGGGATGAACAGAAGAGGAAGAGGGTGACGCCATAACGAGAAGTTGTCTTGTTTGCCACCTTCAGGAGAACAACCTGTAGATCAATGAAATACAATGAAAGAAAGAATTAGAATATGGTTTAGGAGGCGATGCGCACTACATTAGGATGCGTCATTTGCTGACAAGCATAGGGCTGCGTCAATGACCGTCAGTGTGTTTGACGCACCATGTAAAATGATATCGTACACGATGGTAATTTAAAAGAAGAAGTACAACATTGCTCTGAATTACTGGAGCATGTACGCTATTGGCTTCATATAGCCTGCAGTACCCAGGACCAAAATCCAATTGAAACCAGTTGAAATCTCCAACTGGTTTCAATTGGTTTCAACTGGTTTCAATTGGTTTCAATTGGTTTCAATTGGAATAGAAAATTTCCTGTTCAAACCAATAAGAAGTGCAACTGGAACCAGTAAGGTAATTTTTCCAGTTACTCAATTGGTTCCAGTTAGAAGTCATTTCCAGTTACCCAACTGGTTCCAATTAGAAGTTCAACTGGAAACGGTGAGATGATTTTCCTGTTACTCAATTGGTTCCAGTTAGAATTCATTTCCAGTTACCCAACTGGTTCCAGTTAGCATTCATTTCCAGTTAGAAGTCATTTCCAGTTACTCAACTGGTTCCAGTTAGAATTCATTTCCAATTACCCAATTGGTTCCAGTTAGAAGTCATTTCCAGTTACTGGTTCCAGTTAGAATTCATTTCCAGTTACCCAACTGGTTCCAGTTAGAAGTCATTTCCAGTTAACCCAACTGGTTCCAGTTAGCATTCATTTCCAGTTAGAAGTCATTTCCAGTTACTGGTTCCAGTTAGAATTCATTTCCAGTTACCCAACTGGTTCCAGTTAGAATTCATTTCCAGTTACCCAATTGGTTCCAGTTAGAAGTCATTTCCAGTTACCCAACTGGTTCCAGTTAGCATTCATTTCCAGTTAGAAGTCATTTCCAGTTACTGGTTCCAGTTAGAATTCATTTCCAGTTACCCAACTGGTTCCAGTTAGAATTCATTTCCAGTTACCCAACTGGTTCCAGTTAGCATTCATTTCCAGTTAGAAGTCATTTCCAGTTACCAACTGGTTCCAGTTAGAAGTCATTTCCAGTTACCCAACTGGTTCCAGTTAGAATTTATTTCCAGTTACCCAACTGGTTCCAGTTAGAATTCATTTCCAGTTAGAAGTCATTTCCAGTTACCCAACTGGTTGCAGTTAGAATTCATTTCCAGTTACCCAATTGGTTCCAGTTAGCATTCATTTCCAGTTAGAAGTAATTTCCAGTTACCCAACTGGTTCCAGTTAGAATTCATTCCAGTTACCCAATTGGTTCCAATTGGAAATATTTCCAGTTACCCAACTGGATCCAATTGAAACCAGTTAATTTGCATATTATATGCTTGTGTGCAGAACAATGTTTTATGTAATTTTTTTTTGATTTACAATGTACTTATTAATTAATTTTCATTTGCAAGTAATGCATTTGTTTTAGATAAATATAAAGATTAATAAGCAATGATAAGCATGTTCATTAGTAACATATTTTTTTAATTACACAGATTAAAAGTTGATTAGTAAAACACTAACCATGTACAAAATACATCAAATACAAACATATATAATGGCAATGCCTTCCTTGTTAAATATATTATATGGTCTGCATATTATAATGCCCTTTACATTGTACTTAATGTAGACACATATAACAATGATTCTGTGTTGACATGAGCGATAATTAGTGCAAGAGCTAATTAACTTATAACTAATTAAGTTTATGCCAACTGTAAGTTTCAATTGGATCCAATTGAAACCATTTGAAACCAGTTGAAACCAGTTGAAACCAGTTGAAGCCAACTGGTTTCAATAGGGAAATTGGAACAACTGGTTCCAGTTGAAACCAATTAGGCAACTGGAACCAGTTGGCAATTTATTTCAACTGGTTTCAATTGGAACCAGTTGGCAACTGGTTTCAATAGGAACCAGTTGTTCCAATTTCCCTATTGAAACCAGTTGGCAACTGGTTTCAATTGGTTTTGCTCCAATTGGTTTCAACTGGATTTTGGTCCTGGGATATATCATTAATGACGCTTTCGAAATGACGCCTCGTGGGCAAACGGCATATCACCCTCATGAGAAGAAAATGCATCACTACTACACAGACTGCTACTACATTCTTTCAAAGATGGGTAGCGTTTTTTTTTTTAAGTTCCAACGTTGATCTTTTTTCATTGTATCTAAGCTTTTGTAAATGTGATTATGATTCAGTTATACTTCAATGCTGAAAACTGCTATTATACAGAATAATTCATGATGTGTGTATAGCACACATTCTCCTTTTCTAAAATCAAGATACCGATATTCAAAATAGAATTTTGGTAATCCTGTGTAAAATCCTTCCACACCGCCAAAAGTAAAATACATTGCTTAAACAAGGTGGGTACGCCACTGTATAGTCAGTGTGAAACACCACGTTACAATCATTTTACTGAAAATAAATGTGTTAATTTGGACACTTCTGTGGATACAACAATTCAAAATTAAAATTGAAACTAGAGGCGATTTTAAAGGCAGAAGGCCATACTAGACAAATTACGCATTTTTGTACAAGTAGAAAAGGTTATCTCAGTCATAAATAAGTTAATCTAGACCAGCAACATTCTTGTATATATTACGTCGTCAACTACAAACATAGGCGTAGCCAAGGCACACAAGGGCACAGTGGATGCCCCCCCCCCTGCTCATCCGCTAAATGAAAAAATGTCCATCATCCATGAAGACTTTAACCCTATCACCCCCCCCCCCCCTCCCCTTCCTTCAACAAATCTACACCAGTTACAACAAACGAACTTTAACCGTGAATATAGAAGCTTCATTAAAACTTTACATTAAGCGTCCAGCGCTAGCATTTAGCCGACAGCTGATGTCCTCCAAGTACTTAAATATTTACTTCTTCTTTCTCACTGCCGCCAGCGCCCTCCTCCCACCCTCGTGGAACAAAGCAACGGTATTTCACACGGGTAGAACAACGAGTGTACCAAAATGCTTAAAACTTCATTCATAAATTTCTTTCATTGACTGTGTGACACAATAGAACCACACCCATCTGTAAAATGTTATACCAATTTATTCATAGGCGTCAGGGAAGCGGCGTAGCATATGGGTTCGGCATTTTGAAGGGGCACTGTTATCACGGGGGGCAACGGTATAGTTACTAGCAGGGGCGCATCTAGCTTTTTGACAAGGGGGGGGTTGACCCAGTGGCGGATCCAGGACTTTCCAAATATCGCGCCGTTTTACTCTTTTGCTTTTTTTCCTTCTTTTTGTTCTTCTTCTCCCCCCCCCCCCCTCTTTTCCCTCTTTTTTCACTTGGGCGCCCAGGGGGGGGGGGGGGTAAACCGCCGAACCCCCCCCCCCCCCTATATCCACCCCTGACTAGATTAGGTTGTATGAAATCCTTGAGGAAAAAATTGTTGAGGAACGAGTCATAAAATATTGTCCTTATTCATATTACCATGGCACCCCTCCTTAACCTTTTTACTCCTTTTCTATCTCTTTCCCTCTCCCGCAATTTCTTGCCATTCAAAAGGGAATATTGTGCCTTTGACATAGTAATATGTCTACGCTGTGTCCCTGCACTTGTACGGGTGACCAAACAATAAATTGCTTCTACGACAATTGATCGGGGCTTTAGTTCATCAAAGGGTTATGGTAAGGGTTGCAAATAGGATTCAGGTTAGGTTTAGGCTTAGGTCTATAGGCTTAGGTACAGCTTTAGGTCCAGGGTTGGAGTCGAAATTTGGTTGAGTAGGAAACTGACGAGGAACAATTGTTGCAGGTGCATGCCTGTGTCGTACAATCTTGCTACAAGCACCACTGCATACAGGCAACATTTAGTCACGAGAAATCTGCGTGGCGTCTTTTTCCCTGAATATCAACTTTCCAGTTTCTTTATTTGGACACTTCATTACAGTTATACACACCGTTGCTGCATTTTACGTCCAAATCATAATTACAATTTATTAGTTACTGTAAGACAAAGATCGACATCCCTGCTGCCAGGAAATCATTAGTATCAACATTTTTAAATATTTTGAGGCATCCATAATATGTTCCTCCTTTAATCATACTGCCACGTATGGAAAGGGCCGCATCGAAGGCGGTTCTGGAGAAATAATTTGTTGGGAGAAGGGGATTGAGGACCTTTGGTTCTTACAATCATTTCCTATATGTGCCTTGCAATTTATTTATTTTTAAGCTGTGGGGGGGGGGGGGCTTAAACCGCTACTGCATGGACCACACCCATTTATAAGCCCCTCTCCTATATTCCCACCGCTGGTATCTAGACAACGCAACGATACCACGTGGAAGGGGTATGAATGATGAAGAGTTTACCCAAATACTTATCTCACAGAGGACAAGTGGAAGAAGATGTTTGCTCTCATGAAGAACATTTGAATAGAATCATGGCCTTTTCCATTCTTGCCCTTTTGTATCTTGACCCCATATTTACCCTGAGTGGCATAGCTACACTTTGCAAACATGAGAGACATTTGAACTATACTAGCAGTCGCCAAGAGGTCAAGAATGCGTTTAAAGTGGGTAAAGACAGACCCCACCCATACAACAATGCCCCCTTAACATTCTCCACAGTCTACAAATTGGCATTTTCGTGGAAGACATGTCATGTGTCACTCTGCAATAATTAATCTTAAGCGGCATGACAATGTCGAATGTATAAAGCAAACACATCGCCTGCTTTATGTGATTGAATAGTAAAATAAAGCATCTGTACTGAAAATAATAATTTCATTGAAAGCAAAGTAAACTTCAAAAAGTTACATGTAAAAAATGTACATCCTTCAATTACCCGAAGTGTCTGATATGATCTTAGTATTTCAAAAGGTGACATAAAACATTAATTTACATTTCAATACGCTTTTCAATAGAATTGTCAGACATTGTGACTAGCTCATAAACTTCAGAACTAAGGAGATTTTATTTATAATTCAATTACATGTAGTGTATATTAATTTTAATTTTGTTGTGCAATTTTCAAGGTATTATTCATCAATTTAGGAGTGATATGTTCTGTTTTTCTAACATTCAGCTTGTAAACGAACCTGCCTCGTCATGTGCCACATTTACGTCATTCGATACCTTGTCTCTATACCCAAAATGTGAGGGGGTAATTATTCCACTCCACCAGTTGTTTTAAAAATGAATATTCATAATAGCGCAGCCCTCGCCCATCGATTCAAATACACAGAAGGCTGAAGGTACAGATTACCATCTGATTTATTATTTACACAAAGTAACAATGCTAGTCGATTGTATGGACTCATATGCACACTCTCATTGTATCCTTTGGTTAAGAACACTCCATTATCCAAATTCTAAAGAGAAAGAATGGAGGGCAAAAGTTGACGCATGGTTGCCAAAATACACGAACATGGCAAGGACGTTTGGAGAAAAAACAAGGTTTCATTCTGAAGTTATAACATACCCTTCTCATTTGAAAGAGAAAAAAACAAAACTGATGCCCTTAAAGTTGGAACAATTTTTTCTTACCTCCTAGTTATTTTAAGAAAGGGGTTTATTTTTTATTGATAAAGTTTTGTACTTCCTCAAAAGTTTATTGATCAACAAAGATTTAAGGTAAAGACTGGTAGTGGTAAAATTGCGGTTCAAGGATTTTGGGTGAAAAATGTCTATTCAATATTGTTTAAATATTGCCTTCAGAGGTTTAGATCGCAATACTTCAACCTACATTCGCAAAAAAGCAGAAATATATGCCCAAATGTTCAATTTGAAATACATTCGCAATATCTATCCAGGCCGGATCGATATGATAATTTACAAAATACATCAATTAGTAGGCGGTTTCCCGGCAAAATTTGTATCACCACGTATTAGTCAAAACATATTCCGAAACTGGTCTATACTTTTAACCCTGAAGTTCTGAGAAGATCTAAGATTATCTATCAACAATAAACCATGTTATCACAATCATTTGATGACAAGAGGTGAG